TGGTAGTGAGCAATGAAGATCATATGGTACGTGTCAACAGCCCGGAAAGGGGCAAGGCCGTCGCCGACGATGGCAAAGAGTGCGACAAGGACGTTGTCAATCACGTTGATGACATACAATTGCTTGCCACCGACGTTTATCCAACCTGCGTTTGGTTATTGGATCAGTTACACATACATCTGGAAGGGCTCTGAGGGCGTACCGATGAGGAAGAGAACCCAGGCCAGGCCAAAAAGCGTGATCAAAGTTGCATACAGTGTGATGCAGAAGCCCAGAGCTAGGATTCAAAGTTAGCACTCGCAGACTTGCGATCGCGGTAGACAGGCTCACGTTGGCGAACATATTGCAGAAACCCTTTCATGGACCTTTTGAATTTCGACCGGCGTGAGTGAAGCATATGTCGAACATGATCATTGAGTTCTAATCGCTCTTGATATGTCCACCCTGACAACGACGCTCCTTCAGGAAGGACCGCATATCGAGAATCACTGAGCTGGGAGTTGATTGTGGCACCGGTAGGAGCTCGGTATATGGGTGCAGGCCGTGTTACCTTGGGTGGTTTTTCCTGCTTCTGTTTTTCCTTCTCTCCCGGCTTCAGTTTCTGTTCAACATCTTGCAAGAAGCTTGTGAGTGAGAATGTCGGTCTTCTATTCACATATTTGCCCAAGTCGGGAACGAAAAGCGAGTTTTGAACGTTGGTCAGAGATATCAGAGTTTGAACTTCAGGATCTGACGATACTGGTGAGCACAGAAAGTCTGAGAGGGGCGCAATATGCTAGGCTACGTACCCAATGCGTCGAGTGCATCAACCATATCTGCATTGTAGTCCCTTTCAGGCTGCATAGGATCTCTCTCTGTGTGGCCCAAACCCAACGAGTGACGAGTTTTATTCCACAAGTTTCCTATTCTGCCATTATTGGTCTGTTCCGTTTCTCTGGGGTTCGTGGCATAGTCGTGGACTGCGCCAATGTTCGCCTCAGGTCTGGGGGTATTATTCCTGTGACGAAGAAGTCGAATGCTGGGGAGATAAACATTGTCGTCCCTCGCAGCAGGCAAGCGTCTAACGCCAGAATTCGGCTCGTCTCGCAAGGTAGGAGGATGAATCGATGCAGGTTGCTCGATCGGTGGTTGCGCCGCTGTTCTAGCAGCATCTTGTGGTGGTACGGTTTCGGTGGCTACTGAAGCTGAGTCGCTACGTCCCAACTTTGAAGACGCGACGTGGACGGCATCACGCAAGCGGTCCATCCCAGACCGTGTGAGTCTGTGGCTTTCCAGAGGTTGGCAGTGCCTTTGACAGCGGCAGTACTGCGACGCACGCAGACAGCGTACTCATATAAGATGAAGCTGGCATCGTCGAGCCTGTGCAGAAGAGATCGAGATTGTCAACACGATCGGCCTTCCTCCGTAGCGTCTCGAAAACTTGGAAATGCAACTGAAAGCCACAAAAGCCAAATGTGAAATGATGTCATGGGCTGCGGCCTCTAGCTATTAATGGGTGAAGCTATTACGCGCCAATCGCTCCTTAGAAACGTGGAAATTGGGGGCGATAAGGTGGGCTGGCTGGGGTCATTAGGCTCTGTTCGGCAATCTGCAGGCACCAGATACCCTAAGAACCAATTGGCACATGATTACGGGGTCCAAGCACTCTAGCGACACTCGGGGCTTTGTCGCCTGTAGCCGGTCAATGAACTCCCGATTAGCGACTCAATCGGCCTCCGTGTGGAAATGGCAAAGACTCAGAATTCGTCTCTTTCACCGAGGATGCCAGACGTGTGTCTCTTGACTGTCGGATGGGTCTGTTCCCAAATCCGCAGGATTGATGGAGATTCCATGTACCGGCGCCGCAGGTGCGTTCGTGAAAATTTGTCGCGGGTCACATTTGTTTTCACTGCTGTTGGAAGCATCCACAGACCTTGAAACATCTGTTGAAACGGTCGTACTAGAGCTCCTCTGAGTGCCTTCGCCGAATAGACTCTTCGAGATTTTCCCTCCTAGTAAAACCTGTTGCACCTGTTCCTGAACTTCGGATGCAGTGGGGGTAAGGGCAGAAGACTTGCTCACGTGGCGGGAGGTGCATCTTATGAACTTCGCTCTGGTGTCTCAGAAGTCCGCCTAAAAAGGAGAATCCCAAGTGCGACTCGCATCCCGGTTCCTGGCACTGGTAAGGTCTTTCGTGGATGTCCATATGTTTGTTCTATTCACAGACTCTCCGAAACCTCTGTACAGGTTTGCCCCGACAGTCAACGTGGTCGCAACCTATTTGGCCCTTTTCGTTACGTGGCGGTATTCGGGTTCGGTGGATTCCTCAGACAGACGGTGTGATGACTGGTCGTCGAACTGGTGTCAGGAAGATCAAGTGGTGGTGGAGTCTTAACTCGGGTATGAATTTTGACAGGTGCGTCTACCGGCCTGGGGAGCAAGAAACTGTCACCAACCGGGTGACTGTGATTCAAAACCGATTGCATGCTCTCTGGCTTTTGATTCAGAGGACCCTCGGAATCGCCAGTACTGGCTTCTGAAGGACCCGGATTTGGGTCATTAGGGGCTTCGTCAAATATGTCGCAGTTTAGCAGGTCGCCAAAGTCGGGAAGCTCGGGATAGAAGTAGGCTGTGGTAGTGATTGGGGGTGTCTGTGGCATAGGTTGACTGTTCTCGCTCACTGGAGGCGGGTAAAGAGCTCTTGAATCGAGGCGCTGAACATTGATTGTGCACCAGGCGACTGCAGCCATGAGGTCACCTCGGCAGACTCGGTTTGAGAGGACCTTTCCAAAAGTATCTCATGCAGTATGGATGGGGCGCGCCGCTGAAATTCGCTCAGAAACCCAGGCATCTGAGAAGGCTGAATCGATGCAGAACGGTCTTCAGCGTGTATGCTCGATGGTGGCTCAAGGCGTGGGAAAATGATGGACCATATGCACTTCCACGCCTCCTCTGTGGTCTTGCCAGTCCACCGTTTCCTCAGCTGGGCACATTGCCACTCAGATAACAGTTCCGAGGAGGTGTTTTGCTGATATGTACATGCTAGTTCTGCCGGGGCCCGAACATGCTCCTGTAGGCTTGGCTCGTTTTCAAAGACCTCTAAACATCGCTGACAATGATAGTCTGGCATCTTGTGAACGCGGTAAAGACGCTGCTTCAGCCTCGCGATGTCTCTGAGATAAACACTCGAGCAACCCCGATATCTCTTCTCCGAAGTGTTGGCAGGGGAGTATCGAGCTGGATCATACTTCCAATAAGGGCAAGCAAGTAGCTTCTTTGTGGGCGGACTGCCCTCTGAAGAAGTGCGCGCCTTCTTGGGTGGATGATCTTCTTCGTCATCGTCTGAGGGATTGTCGCTGTCTTCTCGATTGCTATTGCCTCGTGCTGAGCGACGGTGAGGACGCTTCGATGATGTTGACTGAGCTGATGAAGCCGTCGACGTTCTACCCTCGGAAGTCGATGATGTGGAGACATCCTTGGGAGATCGATCTCCGTGGGTGCTAGTAATTGTATTTCCAATTGGCCTTGCCGATTCATTGGATTGCATCACTTTCAAATTCAGTGACTGTAGCAACTCTCTCTCCCAGGCATCTTCGACCCCGGAAAGAGGCGTAGGGCTCCTCCGTCGCCACGGTGAAGCGCAATGCTGAAATTGAGCAGTTGGGATTGGAGATGATATTCGATCCATGTTCTGATCATTCTTTGGCCACGACAAAAGTCTCCTCAGATTATGGCATGATAGAACCCGATAAACAAGTTCAATCACAACTTCCCTTCTATCGCGCTGTGGTGAATTGACTTGTAAGGCCTGCATGAGAAGGTAATCGTTGAAAATATACGTTGGCAGTCGCATGTGTGTTCGGGACCTGGATGACAGATCCCTGACAGAGTCGTGGCGGATTGCTTTCCGGGATCTCTCGCTCGAGAAGTCACTGGTAAAGGTAGAGAGGAGATTATCGACGATAACAATAGGAGAAAGCTGGCAGGTTTGTTGTCTCGTCGCGTCTTGGTTTTCGCCCCGTACGACCTGGGCATCGTTGCCATCATTCGCCTCGGAGTTCATTTTGAAGTTCTCACTGATATGGTGCAGGGGATTCTCAAAATAAGGCCCTTGGCTCGTTGCCCACAAACGGTGATGGCCCTGTTCATCCACGTGGACTGGGTCGTTGGGTCCATTGTCATCGTGGTATGAGCTCGGACGGACTTTGGACTTTGAAGGACGTTTGGTAGCAATTTTGGTAGCAATCACATCCGGAAGAAGGAGTTTAATTGCAGGGGCAAGCATCGAATTGAACTGTGCAACCGAAGACAGGCGTTTCTTCTCATCGACCGTCCGCTTCCTGCTAGGTGTTCGTCTCAACTTGTTGGATGAGGCCCGAAGCACCATGTGCGCATCGTTGCCATTACTGCTCCACACCCGCAGATTGTGGGCATCGGAATAGAAAGATATTTCTGGAGAGCTCGCAGCAAATCTAGAGTCCGTCAGTGCCTCGTCGCCGTCATTCTCGTCCAACACCATATGGTCAGGTCGACTTTCGCTGGGAAAGTATGCCATGGTTCGGGTTTATCTCTGATTCTGATCCACGGCATCCGCAGCACAAATGATCAAACCTGGAAGAATGAAAAGAAGTAGAAGGAAGCCGGGGTGGAGCGCCCTGGGCCTCGAAGGTCTACAACGGGCGTGCTGCCTTAATCAGATGGAGAAGGTATGCCGGATTGAAATGGTGGTTAGTGTGATGTGGCGCAATAAAGCGGCGGGGATTCATCAATACATCGACCCCAGCCCAGGGTAGGAATATATCGTGATACCCAGGTATGAATGTACACAATTTTGACTTCCCTTCAGACATCAGACAGTCCAGAGCACGTTGGTATGCGCGTTGTCTACATGTCGATGTGGCGAGGTTTGGTATGGCATAGCCGAAACGGATATGTTCATATACACACACACACACATATAAACATATACACTCACTAAAAAGATAATGATTGTCTAGCCCCCCATCTCTCGCCTGTATCAACTAAGCGTCCATACCAAAGGATGCGTCGAGCACGTGCTGGAACCCGTCGAGGCTCCAAGGGTCGGCGGCCGTGGCGGCAGAGGCTGTGGCGGGCTGAAGATCACTGATGCCAGTGTATCTGTCAGGAGTGAGGGGATCAGCAACTTAGAAAAAGAAGGGGAAAGGGGGGACAAAGGTTTTCGACCCGTGTACTCGGCACTCACAGAGGATTCATGTAGGACTCGCCAAAGTCAAAGGCAGACGTGTCCATGGCCCACGGGCCGGTCGAGAGGAATGGGTCGTTGAACCAATCCAGCGCGTCTCCCTCATCCAGCAAGCCGTCCGTGTTCAAAGCCGTCTCATCGTCGTGGACGTTGTCATTGGCGGCGGCCTTATGTCTCGTGGCGATGGTGGTCGTTGTTAGTGACGATCCCACCAGGTCACTGCTGCCCCCGCCGCTGTGGTGGTGGTGGTGGTGGTGATGGCGATGATGGGACCGCTTCTGCAACATGGCCTTTGCCACCTCAAAGAGCTTAAAGGCAAAGTTGGCGCCCCAGTACGTCTCGCGTAGCTCCGACACGACCATCATGCACACTTCCAGCTTGGACCAGGCCAGGTTGTGGATCAGTGGTCGGCTGGACCGGCACTCGTAGAGATGAATCTGCATGGCCGTGATGATGGCCGTGAGGCTGCGGTGCGTCCGCCCGCCCGTCAGGGCTGTGTGTCAGCAAGCGTGTGCTTCTAAAACGAGAGAAGTGGCAATCTTCATGGAGGGACTCAACTTCATCGGCCTCAAATACTGGACCATGTCCTGTTCGATCAACATTTCGACAAGGTGATTAATTCGGACCGCCGCCGAGCGAGCCTTGCGGAGCGACTCTACCTGTTCAGGTGTCTTGACGCTGTCGGGCGGATCTCGGAAATTTATCCTCGACCGATGTAGCACGATGATGACCGCTCTAGGGAGAAAGAGAAAGTTGGTTTTGTTTCCCCGGGGGGTGGCAGGTGCCCAAAAGCACTCTTTTGGGAGTATGGGGAGCAAGGAACACAAACTGTCTCAGAAGTTCAAACTGGAACTCGTTCAAGGACGCCACGGAAAATTCGTTCTGATGGTCCAGACCTCGTGCCGATGACCGGCAGTTTTCCAAGTCGGTCTCGCACGACCGAAAGCCATTGGGGTCGAAAGGCGGTCGTGTGTTTTGCCGGAGAATCTTACCCAGGACCACACTCAGATGGATCAACCGCACCCAGATTTCCGCGTGCTCTGGCATCGCGGCGGGGAGGTACTTGGTGGCGACGTCTGGGTCCAGGTCGCCCAGCTCCATGGTGATGTCGTCGGGCTCGGGCATTTGCACCTGACAGTCCTCGAGGTTGATGCGCATCGGCCGTCCCAGGCCCAGGCACAGCCAACGATCTCTCATGAAGCACGACCACCAGATCCGGCGAAAAAGACGTGACCGAAGAGTGGCATATGGACTTAGTGAGCCCGACCGCGGCGTGCGGTAGAGTCCCATGACTTGACAAAGACCGATGGCGATGCCCATCCAGTGCCACGGCCCACTTCGGTCTTCGGGATCCGAGTACCAGAAGCCCAGCAGCGTCACGGATTGGACCACGCACACCTTGTCGTCCTCGTAGTCGCTGTCGTACAATGCCTGTCTCGAGATGGTGAGCACTCTCCCACCTCCCCTGTTCAGGGTTCCTCCTACCTTGGCCCTGGCGTATAGTGCACGCTTCATCGCTTTCCTTGAAGGATAACCCGCCGTCTGCAAATCTTCCGGAGTGGCAAACTGGGACGGAATTAGTCATTGGCTGCGTAGGGAGATGAGTGAGGACACATGGGGTCTCACGTTTGCAGCAGCAAGGAGAACACTCCACAGTAAGAGCAGATTCATGGCTGTCGCCCCGTTGCGGGCGTATTGAGACAAGAAGTGGCCGGCGTCAATGACAGGCAGCAGAGGGTGGACGTGCTCAAAGTACTTCTGGACCAGGGCATCACAGACCTCTGCCGAGGGTAGGTCAAAGACTCCCTTGCTCTGGAGGTAGATGAGGTCGTTGGTCTGCCACGCCTTCTTCGGCTTCGGCGCGTTGCGTTGATGGTGCACAACAGGTCTGATCCCTTGCGGTTCCGGGTCTTGATCGGCACAGATAGCCATGACGGATTGGACAACGCCCTGCGGATCCCCTGCACTGATGGTCAACTGAGTTCGGTTGTGCTGTCGCGGTCTACGACTGCCTTTGACTTACCGGCATAAAAAGCTCGATGACGATTGAACGGGCTGTGGGATTCCAAAGCTTCAGCAAGCGAGGCGTTATTTCGCCCTTCGTCTGCGACATCGTCATTTCCTGACGGACTCGAGACGATGTTTTCGACCACGTGGATCTCTCGGGAGTCATCGTTGTGGAAGATTTGATGGTCTCGATGCACCAGGTTGGGTGAGAGACGGACATTGGGGCGCTCCGAACTCAACGGCATGGAAGAAGAAGCATCCACGTTCTCTACCAAGGGATCGCCTGCTGTGGGAGGAGGTGGAGGCGCGAGGGGAGACGGCGATCTGGTGCGTCTTCCCGTTTTTCGTGATGTCGTGGATCGCATGCTCTTGTTCGCTCTTTGTCTTGATCCTTGATGCTCAGTCCACGGCCTTCAGGATAGAGAACCCCTTGTGTGATGAGAGGAGGAGGGGGAGGAGATTGACATACACCCGTCTTTTCCTTGGAAGAACCTCGCATTCTATCCTGTCGTGAAGGCAATTCGTGCAAGGATAGCCCGTGACTGTGACATTGCACCGCACTTTTCTCTCTTTGCATCGCTGGCAAGCTACAGCAGACCGTCTTCCACCCGCGGATTGGACAAATGCCAGCCTGCCTGTGCTGCTCGCAGTTGTGGTCGACATGCTCATGTAGAGCTATGTAAGGTTGATAATCGTTGCTGTCGTCTGAGAGGTAGAGGTGTCGAGCGAAGAGAGTTAGGATAAAAACAACAGAGCATCCAGACTTCAGCACTGTCTACAAGCCTTGAATTTAGTCAAGACCCGAGTGCCGACTACCTGGAACTTACCATGCCTGCAGCCTTAAGTAGGGGCCTCAGGCGATGTTACGGGGGAGGGTGATTGGGAGGTGGGAGACCCCGCGGCTAAAATGGCTTTGATGGGTTTGAATGTAATGACGACAAATGACAATAAATGTCCATGATGTGAAATGACAATCAAAACACACGGTATCGATCTGTACCTCGTACAGCTATGACTGAAAATTGTGCCGTGTGCCGGCGCCAAGAATTCTCTTAGCCATGTTAGCCACATAGGGGATAGTGCGGTATCACCCTGATCCCCAAAACGGGGTCATCAAGAGGCAGAAACGTGCTTCTCGTGCCTCTGTCGTGCTTCACCATTCGGGGAATGGGCCGCGTTCAATCGTATGGTCTCGATCGCACCCGTTCTTTAACGAGTACCCTATCGAGTGAGTCAAAATGCGCCCCGAAAACTTTTCAACGACAGAATCACATGCGATGCTTCCGATTCGCGCAATTCCTCCCTTGGATGGTGTAAGCTCCGTCGAGCACAGCGGCTTTCTGAAAGACCACTCATCGCAGAGATAAGCCCAGTGACCCCGCAACTTCCTCTATCAAGGCGAATTAAACAGACAGGACAAATATTGCGTCGAGAAATGCACATATGGCACCATCCTGCGTCAACAGCAGCGTGCCTGCACTCGTAGTGATACAATGCTGGAACCGGAAAAATCTATAAAGTTGTGCTGTACCCAGGGGTCGAGTGTCAAGGATCTGGTGCAAGGATCGGAAAGCTGACGATAAGACGCCCTGATTGATCTACTTCCAAAATGGCACCCTCCGCTATCGATGTTGAGACCCCTGTACAGGACTTCATCAAACAGAAGACTGTGTTCGGAAAGGAGCCTCTGAAATCGTCTGGCTCTCTCGACCAATGGAAATCGGTTGACCTCACCCCCGTTATTGGTACCGAGTATCCCGAGGCAAATCTCGTCGAGTGGTTGAATGCTCCCAATGCCGACCAGCTCCTTCGCGATCTCGCTATCAAAAGTAAGCCCATCCCGGTCCTATCTCTGGATAAAGTTTAACTCACCATATCAGTCTCGGAGCGCGGCGTTGTCTTCTTCAGGAAGCAGGACAATCTCACCAACGATATCCAGAAGCAGCTCATTCAGCGACTCGGCGAGCTGACCGGAAAACCTGCGACTTCCAAATTGCATATCCATCCTGTCCTAAACTCAGAGAGGGAGCTGGGAGGTGATGACCCGGAGATCAGCACCATCAGCTCGGTGCAGCATGAGAAGTATTATAAGAAGACACCATACGACCAGAGCCAGAAGAAGCAGAGCAGTGCGCAGTGGCATAGCGATATCGCATTTGAGCCAGTTCCGGCGGATTACACCTCCCTTCGACTGATTCAATTGCCTCGCACCGGAGGAGGTCAGTGACGTGTTGACACCGAACAAAAGCGAGCATTACTGACAAAGGCACTAGATACTCTATGGGCTTCGGGATATGAGATCTATGATCGCATCAGTGAGCCGTATCAGAAATTTCTCGAAACGTTGACTGCCACCTTCGCTCAACCTGCGTTCAACGAAGTTGCTGAGAAAGGAGGTTTCCAGCTCTATACCAAGGAAAGAGGCGCACCGGAGAATGTCGGGGGCGAACTAAAGGCCGTCCATCCCGTGGTTCGAACCAACCCGGTGACCGGATGGAAGAGCATTTTCCCCGTGGGCGGCCACGTCCGCCACATCAACGGCTTGACCGAGCAGGAGAGCAAGAATCTCCTGGAATGGTTCTTGGACCTCGTCTACAAGAACCACGACCTTCAGGTCCGGTTCAAATGGGAGAATTCCAACGACATCGGTGAGTGATCATGGTCCCTATTGGAAATGCGCATCTGACCATGGGCCAGCTATCTGGGACAACCGCAGTGTGTTCCACTCTGCGACCTTTGACTATCGTGGTGAAGGAGACCGCTTTGGAAACAGGGCTGTTGGTTTGGGCGAACGCCCCTACTTTGATCCCAACAGTACCTCGAGGAGGGCAGCGCTGGGGATACTAGAGAAGTAGATGAGCAGCTTGCGACTCGTAGACTATGCCCATGTCAGCTGGCCAATCTCGCCTGGGCTTGAAAAATCAAACACATTAGTTGTATGCTTTCCCCCCCTTGGTGAATACTGAACAGCCTCGTCACTACGTCTAATTGTAGATACAACAACCTATAACTTGTCTCGGTATCCCGCTACATGCCTCCACACGTTCTCCCTTCAGCAGGTTTCCTTGCCTAGGAGTGTCTTTGGCGCCCTGATTTTTACTGATAGGCAAGTAAAGTGACCCAGCCCTTCGAGACTCCTAATGGACGAAACGGGAAACGGTATTTTGAGTCAGGGCGACCAGCAGGTATGATTTATCTTTATTGGTTTCGGGTATTATACCTATTTGGGATGCATTAGTCCAAATTAGGCGCGCTAGCGAGCTCCCAGTCTCTATTCCCTACGACGTAGGTATGCCTTGACCCATCTTCCTTTCAGATTCTTTATCTACGAGTGACGTAGGTGTGATACACAGTCTTGAATCTTTGTTTTAGGTGCCAAAAATGGACAGGTCGTTATTTCCTGGTCCGGCTTCGATGGACAGACCGGTTGTGGCAGACGCATTAAATTCCAATTCCGGCTGCCAAACAACAAAGAACGAACGCGAGGCTGTCTCTCTTCCTCTGGGAACTGCCGCGACATCAGGCAATTCGCACACATCTATCTACTTCTCGCCTCGCTACGCCTCCGTTATATAAAGAACATCATGTCGAAACCGATCGTCCCAGCAACATGGGTCAGAAAGTCTAGACGCAAGCTCACGAGGCGCGCATTGAGAAGATTGGATCGCAGGAACGAAGAAGCTGCTTCAAGTTCCAGCTTTCCGGATCACAATTTGGACAATCTCAGCACGCCAAATCCTCAAGCTGGGTCAGAGGATCAACAAACCACTTCTTCGGCCACCCATTTTCTTCGCCATTGCAGAAAGGCCGTCTTACAGGACATCAAGAGATTTGCTAGAGGGGGGGGACCAGACCTCACAGACTTAACGCAGGTACGAACAAATCCATATCGCCTGAGATCCCAGTGCTGACCGCGATCCAGTCTTCACTTTCAACCGCAAATCCGAACCGTGCCATGCCTAAACCTCGCCCAAGTTCAACTCCATATCAGCAACTCCACGAACAGTGCTCGATGGATCCTCCTACCCGCAGTTCCATACCCACTGAGAGCGCTGTAACTTCCGGGCCTTACAACAGGGATTTTAGACAGAGCCTCATTGACAATGGTGTTTATCCTCCAAGGTGCCGAGATTACGGTGAAGAAGGGCCGCTCCTGCCAGCCAATTGGGAAACGATCAGAGACCGCCTGTCTAAAACCCGACCTGAACTTTCCCCTGATGTCTTCACGGATGAGCACTTCCGACAGTTCCAACGACAAGACGCATTTGCAACAAAAGAGAATCTGCTAGAGGGGATCGTGGCGAGATATCACCGAGCTGACGATGATCCTTCAAGCTGCAGCGGAAGACTCAACTTGAAAAATCTCAGCCCGCTGACGTGGAGGCTAGCTATTCCAGCAAGCCCGGACCTCTACTACGGCGCTTCCCCAGAACAACTACATGAACGGGTCCGTTATGAGCTCAGTGGAGAGATTGTCCCTACCACACAGATGGACCTTCCGATAGCGCCCAATTTCTTCCTCGAAATGAAAGGTCCCGAAGGTCTACCAGCAATTGCACGGCTTCAGGCTTGCTTTGATGGAGCACTAGGAGCGAGAGGTATGCATTCCCTCCTATCATACGGCCAAGGGGACGTTGTGGGCTCTGATAATGCCTACACCTTGACTGCAACCTACTGTGACGCGGTCCTCAGGATGTATACCACTCACCGCATCCAGTCCTCTGCCCAGGGAGGGCGACCTGAGTATTACATGCATGAAATCGGCGCTTGGATCCTGAACTCTGACGCTGAGAGTTTCCGACAGGGCGTCACAGCCTATAGGAACGGCAGGGATTGGGCCAAGGAACAAAGAAATGAAGCAATCCGAAAGGCAAACGAAAGAGCAGTCAACAATGGACCCATTGACACCGTTGGTTCTCGAGATGAAATCGCCACAAACCTGAACTCTGCAGTAGTACAGGGTCTAGGCGCAACTGTCGGGTCCACATCGACTGGAAACTCCAACCCTCTTGTTGAGGAATCTTCTTCGAAACAGGTCGGTCATGATCACGGATCCGGTGCTAAGCGCTCGCACCCAGGCTCGGCGGACTCACCACAGCCACGGAAAAAGCAAAACACAGGACTTTGAATGAAACCCGAAGGTACCACCTCGCAGGCATCAGATGCAGAAACTTTATTTGAACACCAGAGGCTTTACCAACCAATGTGGCATCAGCCTACCTGATGATGCTTTTCCATCGACAAGGTCTGAATATTTGGGGGAGATGGGAGAGAACACTCATTATTGTCGTTTTTCTTTGTGACACACCGGACTTCATCAACAAGAATCGCCGAAGCCAACGCCGACGGACTGAGTTGGCGCATTGGAGTTCGAATTCGACTTGAACTTTGTAGGGCACAGGAACAGGGTGTCGTGGGGCGCAGGGGCACGACATTGGGGGGACAGAGACACTGTGTAATGGGGACGATGATGCTGGGTTACCTTTTTTTTCCTTTTGTTGGGTTTCTTGGGGGAGGACGATCGGAAGGGGGGAGGCGAAGATGGGGCCGAAGGGATTCATTTGTACGAGTACTGAGCCGCATTGGCACATGCGGGTTTGTAATAACAGTAGGGACATTCACCATTGCTCGAGATTGTATTTCTCCAGCGACTTGGTCACAACTTCGCGCCTGCGAAAGGTTAGGATGGGTTGGTTGACTGACTAACTGATTTGGTCTCTGCTGTCGAATTGATTCAGCAACTGACTCCGACTCCGCCCACCCAGGAGAAGGTAACGCGTAACTACGTAACTGAGCCCTGCTTCTCCTTGTTGCCTCTCACACACACACACACACACACAAAAGTTGACGGGTACGTTAATTCCTCACCTTTTTTTTTCGGCCCAGCCTCGTCCTCTCTTGCTTTGCTTACATGCTTGCGGACTTAGCACCATGGCCACCTTGGGTGGAGTGGGTGGTGGGTGGGTGGATTGATTAATAGTGATTATGTACCTCGTACTCGGCGAGTCGGGTACTCAATAATGGCTTCCCCCTGGTGGTCCTCTGCCCCGTCATCCCCGCACGCATCCATGCGTGCATGGCGCGCACCCTTCCAGGTATACATCTATGTCATCTTTCCACCTACGCCCATGTATACGCTATACGCCAAACACACGACCAATGACGAAATTTTCCAAGAATTTCACCCTTGGTGGGAAAGGGAGGTTTGGGGGGTAAAATACCCGGAAGGGGGAGGAGAGGGGAGGACACGCAAAAAGAACTTGGGATACATTATTATGTACATGACATCAATAGAGATGTGAGATGAAGCGAGGTGGGCGTAGGACTTTGAAGCATATACAGTTCCTTACACGTTCCTCACTCGCGTCAGGGGGTGTCACTGAGGAAATTTTGATGGGGATGGTAAATTTCCATCTGGTGACATCTAGTAGTCGATCGGTCTCGTGTGAGTACATCCATACGCGCATACATACATACCAATTCGTCAATACCAATCCCCCTCCACCCCAAACGACCACGTCAACGCCGGAAAAAAAAAACAAAATGGAAGTCCAGCTCAAAATCGAGTGTCACTGCCACCTCACATCCTTCTCCCTCACGATCCCGTCGACGGAGCTCCCCCTGAAATCCGCGCTGTGCCACTGCTCCTCGTGCCGCCACACGACGGGCCAGCTGTTTGCGACCTGGGCCGTGATCCCCGCGGAGCTTCCGGGTGACGTGCTCACCGGGGCCAACCTGGTCAAGTACGCATCGTCGCCGACGTGCCAGCGCTGGTTCTGCAAGCGGTGCGGCGCCAGCGTGGTCAACGTCGACGAGAACGGGGGGAGAGGCCCGGCGGAGTGGGAGGTCGGCACGGGTGTGCTCTCATTCGACGACCCCGGGGGGTTAGAAGGGAAATTGAACCGTGTGCAGCTCTGGGTCGAGGATGTCAAGGGGGACGGAGGCGCCGTGGGCTGGATCAACCAGGGGGGGCTCGAGGGGATGGATAGGCGCTGGACAGGACGGGACAGCGAGACTGTCAGTGATGGCGCGGTCGGGGATCTCATGCTGCGCAGAGTCGAGGCCCGAGACGTCAGCCAGCGCCTTGTCGCGCAGTGTCGTTGCAAAATGGTCAGGTTCGAGATCTCACGACCTCCCGGCGACTACAATGCAGGAACCGGCAGGTTCGAAGCGAGCCTCGATGCCTGCACGTCCTGTCGGACGGTGACTGGATTCGAAATCACCTGTTGGGCCACGGTGCCGAAGAGTCTCATCACTGCGAAAGCGGATCTCGACTCTCTCCTAGACGATCGGGCAAGGCTGGGGCACTACAAGACATCGTCGGACGTGAGTCGGTATTTCTGCGCAAGGTGTGGTGCAACCGCTTTCTACTACAAGCACGGCTTGGATACGATTGACGTTGCCCTCGGACTTCTGGAGCCTGAGGTAGAAGGCGCTGTTCGAGTCGAAGCTTGGCTCGAATGGCAGAAGTATCCCAAGAGCGTAGCGTATCCAGAGGACGCCGTCGACAAAGCATTCGTCAGGAAACTCGTGGAAGGCATGAAGCATTGGGAGAGTCGCTGAGAGTCAGTCAGAAGAAAACCTTGTTCTCCTATCCTTGAGCACTCAAGCTCAAAGAAAAGTCACATTGCTCGTCGCTTGTAGGATTCATTGGATTACATGCTCGTGCTATACATTATCTCAGTTCTGCGACCTGTTTAGCTGGCAAATCTCTTTTCAGCAGCCTTCCAGTTGATGACATCCCAGATGGCGCTGAAGTACTCGGCCTTTCGGTTCTGGTACTGGAGATAGTACTGGGTATTGTTAGCAACTCCAAGACCTTGCAGAATGACATGGGTTCCCTCTTACAGCATGCTCCCACGCATCAACGCCCAGCAATGGCTTGTATCGGCCGACGACCGGATCCTGATTCGCATATGTCTGAATCGAGATGTTGCCGGTCTGGGTGTCCTTGACCAGCCAAGCCCAGCCAGAACCTTGAATGCCGGCCAAAGCTGCATTGAACTTCTTCTTCAACTCTTCCAAGCTCCCATATGTGGTATCGATCACCTTTGCCAACTCTCCCGAAGGGGGTTCGCCGCCGCCGGAGTTCTTGGGCGCGAGGTTCTCCCAGAACAAGGAGTGATTGACGTGGCCACCGCCGTGGAAGTTGATCAGCGGCTGGAGAGCAATTTTCGCGGCAATGTCGTCCTTTGCTTCGGCGGCAGCGTACTTGTCTGCGGCATCGTTGTAGGAGTTCACGTAGGTCTGGTGGTGTTTGCTGTGGTGCAGCTCCATGATCTTGCCGGAGATGGCGGGTTCCAGGGCACCATAGTCGTCTGGTTGAGGTGTCAGCTTGGCTTGACGAGGTAGATGCGACGGATCTCCCGAAGGCTTCACTTACAGGAAAGGTCTGGGAGGGTTGCCTTCGTCCGAATAAAGGTTTTATCGGCCGTAGTCAGGCATCGGGCAGGATGGGTAGCTCCAATAGCTCTGAGGGTGGAGGGACGGGCGACAGAGCGGAATAGCGAGGCCATGTTTGAGACAATTGCTGTGAAAAGGCAACCAATTGACCAGGTACAGAAGAGGCAGAGACTTCTGAGAAAGGGAGTTGAAACTGAATGATGAGGTGCTCCGTAGCCGGTGTTTATTGGAATTGGAGAGTTCGAAATGGAGCTGCACCGAATTACATCACTGTGCCTATTCCGGAAATCCTCGTACGAATTTCGGCCTCCACGATGGAGTCGCCCAGAACTTTTTATGCGCAGGCAGATCAGATCGGAGATCGACAACTCTCTTGCATGTGCCACGACGTCTTCTACTACACGCGACATCTTGCGCATGCGAAGTCATTTTGCCCAGACCATTCATACCGACAAACAGCCCTCAAAAGACAGCCTTCTTTTCCGCCCTAGATCCTGATGCCGTGGCAACATGAGCGACTCTTCGGAAGACGATCAACCCTTCAACCTTCGCGACTACGAGGACGATGAATCTGACGATGAGCGACCACATAAAAGAAGGAAGACGACAAAGATATTGCGCAATCGTGGGCTGGGGTTCGTCAAATCTACTGGTCAAGAGGAGGGGCAGGACGAGGCAAAAGACGGAGAAGATGAAGATGAAGAAGATGTTGACGACGAAAGACCTTCCATGCGTATGGGCCTGGGAATGGGCGCTGGTATGAGTGGGTTTCGAACCGCCTTCAATATAGGCGAATACAACGACGACGAAGCAGGGGCAGAAAGAGACACTTCGCCCATGGACATGTCTCCCCAAAGACAATCAGAAAAGCCTGTCCGCATGGGTCCTTCAGCATTTGGTGTCGGTGGCCGCATGAACAAAAATTCCTTTGCGGCGCGGATGATGGCCAAACAAGGGTATGTCGAAGGCCAAGGTCTAGGGAAATCAGGACAAGGAATCACAGCGCCTATTCAGGCCAAAGTACTACAGAGTCGGGCTGGTTTGGGCCAGGGAAGCGGCACACCAGAACCTGCTCGCAGGAAACAAGACGCAGGAAAGGACAAGACCTCTTCTAAAGGTTCGACACCCGGCACAAGCACACCACGAATCAAGGCACCCCCGAAGGCCAAATATGCTGTCGCCGCAATCGAATCGAGGGGCCTCCACGTCCCCGAGGCAATGAAACAGATCATTGTCGATGCAACTGGAGCCGAAACCAAGACTGTCACCTCCTTGTCGGGCTTCTCGACGCCTACCAGAGAAGCCTCACCATCACCGGCTCTCGAAGCTGCAAAAGCCACTTCCCGCATAAAGCTCCAGTTGCAGGCTTTTGCCGACGCTTGGGACTCGACAAAGGACCAAGAAACCCATCTGGAGCAGGAACAAATGCAGCTGGGCGCTGCATTGGCATTGCACGAAGAAGAAATACAACGCTACAACGACATCATTTCGGCATTTGAGCGGGTCAATGTGGACGACTCGAGTGAACCCCGGGACTGGAACTCCTCTATAACCCGCCTACAGGACATCCAAGTCCGCTTTGTCAATTATATCTCTGAACTCTCACTTCCTGAACTCACTGCTTCCTGCCTCGAAACCCCCTTCAGGCGTGAAATGGTTGAATGGGATCCTCTTTCTGATCCCACTCACCTCCTTGAGTCCCTGAAGTCGATTGATCAGCTCCTTGAAATTGACAAATCAAGATCTTCCCGCCACCGCAAACGAACCACCTACTTTGAGTCATTGCTCCTGTTGCACTGGTACCCGCGCATACGCACGGCGCTGTCCAAGGAATGGGACATTTACGACCCAGACCCGGCGTACAATTTGATTGATGCTTGGACGCCACTACTTCCCCCTTTCCTCGTCCACAAGATCCTGCATGAAACCGTTGTTCCGCGGTTAATCGAGGCTGTCAAACGATTTCCCAAGTCGCTCGATCCAGGCACTTTTGGCAGTGGCAGAAGCAAAAAGTCCAGCAGAGCTCCGGACATGCACACTTGGCTCTTCGATTGGTGGACGCTTATCTCTTCCGAGACGCTCGACCTCGAGCGGTTCCCCGAACTGAGATCCCTGGTCAAGTCCAAAGTCGATGCCGAGTCGTGGTCGCATTGGAAACCGCTGCTCGGGTCGAGGAAACCCAAACTGCTGCCCTCCGCCACCCCTGCCGCGCCACGTACCGCCGCCTCCACCACGACGGCTGGCCTCACCGAGGCGATGGAGGAGATGACATTCAGATCGCTCGTCGAGGAATGGTGTTCGGAGCACAACCTGCTCCTACAGACGTCGCATAAATCCGACGCGTTCGGCCGGCTGTTGTTCCGCCTGCAGGACGCCGAGAGGCGCAATCGGGGAATCCTGGTGTATTTGCAGGACGACGTGGTGTTTGGAGCAGAAGACGGAGAGCCGTACGCGCTGGACGAGCGGTTAATTGCGAAAGCGAGGGGGAAGTAAGCCGACAGGACTGGGAAGCTAGACAGAGGTCTTTCAAGCGTGAGAGAGAGAGTGATAGTCAGAGATAGAGATCATAGCCGAAAGCCTTTCAGGGGACAAGAACCCACAGTCAGGACTATGGAGGGAGGATGTGACACCATTCATTGATCACTTGATCACTCTTCCTCCACCATCCTCCACCTCCCCAGTTCGAACGTTAATAGTACAAACCCCGGAGAGGGAATTACCTCCCCCATTCCTACCTATTTGTGTACATACGTACATACGTACGTACATAGCTTGGTGTTCAGCAAGGGATTGGGATTCTGGAACGCCAACGCCGGAGTCCTGACTCCTGCCTCCTGCTTGGTTGGGTCGAGTCGGTCAATATGGAACCTTTGTAGATAGAATCATAGAAAAAAAAAAATCGGTATACCGGTAACGGTAACACGAACAGAGGCGGAGCAGTGGGAGGAGCACGCGGGGATATAGTGAGGATAAGGATAAAGGTGCTGTGGTAAGTAATCATTGACATGATTATTTTATTGTTTGTTTGGTATTTGCTGAAAAAGGAAAGTCGAAAAGCGTCTTAATTAACGCGCTGCACGTTCCCTAGATAAATAGACCTGTGACGGAAATGGATGGAAGTTCGGCCCCCGTTTGTTTGTCTATAATACTAGGAATACTAGGAATACTGGGTGTCCAAGCTACCAAGCTAAAGCTATGGAAAGCACTGTCTTCTGTAGGTTGTAAAACTCCTGCGCCTGACAACAACGACAATGACAAGGACAACGACATCACTTTTCTTTTTCCGAATAGACGCTCGCGTTCAGATGCTGTGGATTCCCGAGATAGGATGAGAAATGAATAGATACCCAATATATGGCTGGCAGAGAACGATCCGACCGCAAGAAGCTTCCTTCTCTTTTTCCCTCCTTTCCCTGAACATTGACCAATTCAAATCTTTGCGAGTCATAAAATATCATCAATCCAGGTGGAAAAAACATGTCGGATCCCTTCCCATCTAATCTCTCACAGCGTGCTTGCTTCTCTTGCAGGAAAAATAATTGTGGTACTGCTCCCTCTCTTGCTCCACCCATTCCGTCTTCTCATGTCATGTCTGGGTCAGATCCAAAACTCTTGTCTTTGCTGTTTCTGGCACTTTACATGCAGGCGGCACCGTCAATGCCGATGACCTTGCCGTTCACCCACTCGCCGTCTTGGGAGGCAAGGAAGCAGGTGACACGGGCAACATCAATGGGCTGGCCGACACGGTTCATGGGCGACCATGTGGCGGCGTACTCGTCGACCTGGTCATCCGACAGGTTCATACCGTTGGGAATGTACTCTCTGCAGACGGCGTGGTACATATCGGTCTTGATACCACCGGGGGCAACGGCGTTGACGGTGATCTTCTTGTCACCGCAGTCGATAGCCATGCAGCGGACAAAGGTCTCAATGGCACCCTTTGAGCCCGAGTAAACGGCGTGCTTGGGGACACCCTTGGCCTGGCCGGTGATGGAACCCATCAGGATGATACGGCCACCGACCTCGAGGTTCTTGTAGGCTTCCCGGGCCACGAAGAATTGGCCTCGGGTGTTAATGTTGAAGACACGGTCGAATTCTTCTGGGGTAACGTCCTTCAAGTGACCGAAGGAAACGACACCCGAGTTTGAGACCACGATGTCCAGCTTGCCAAAGTGCTTCTTGGCCTGCTCGAACATGTCGACAATCTGTGAGACATCGGATACGTTGGCTTTGACGGCGATGGCGTCGCGGCCGAGAGCCTTGATCTCATCGACCAGCTCGTCGGCAGCCTTGGAGGAGTTGGCGTAATTGACGACAACGTCGGCGCCACGACGGGCAAGTTCGAGAGCAGTCTCACGACCCATTCCTCGCCCTGTTTTGTGCCCAATCTGTTAGCCTTTGTCTTCCTTTCGCTCCCATCTTTTCGGGTGTGGGAAGAGGCGGTGAAGAGCCAGGTCGAACGTTTCTTTCCCAAGGGGAAAGCTGTTGGTGGCCTTCGAACCGGGACTCAACCCTCTCTTTTCTGAGACGTACCTGATCCAGTTACAAGAGCAACTTTGCCAGTGAGGAGGTAGCTAGGGACAGGCTGGTCGGCAGCGGACGCAGCGCCATTGGCAAGTCTGGTCGAGTTTCGTTTAGACATATTGGAGGAGGCGGTGTGGAGGGATGTGTTGGAAATTGAGCAAAGGGTAGGAAAGGAGTATCCAAAAGGTTGCAATAGATGAGAGCAAAAGGGGGGGATATGTACAGCACTTGAGGAAGAAAGGAGTCAAGACGAGGAAAATGAGTTTTATTGAACAAAAAAGGTCACGGTGTTAGGATAAGGGGTGGTGATTGTTTGTGTCCCCCTCCCCCCTCTCCGTCCTCCCTCCACCAAAAAAGTTCGATTGGAAATATTATTTTTAACAGTCCATCAGCCGCAGCTAATGCTCTGAGTGGGGGACGGCGATCGGCCTAGTTGGCGTAGCGGCCACTAATGAGGGGCGTTCAGGGTCTCCCAGTTATTGCCAGGGGCCCGACGCTGAGGGGCGGCTGTCACTGGTTGACGGGGATCTTCCAGGTGCGAACTAGTGGAAGGAGGGGCATCTTAACGACTCACTACCGTCCAGTTGGTGCCACCACCGCCTGCTGTTTTCCCTTTGTGCCTACCGAGACCGTCCCTTGCCTACCTTTAGGGCCGCTGTGCACTAACGCATAGCCACAGGGGGGGAGGATGAACAGGGGGCATCACACCCCGAAAAGGTGCACCTGGTAGCCACCTGCAGATGTCTAGGTGGCCCTTTCGGTCTTGGGGTCGACGTTGGGAACTTGTGAGATCTTCTCACCGCCCCGGGTTCCGAATAATCGCTGAACATGACTTGATTGAGTGATTGGGGGCCATGATTTCTTTTCTCTATTCCCTTTCACATCTACCGCGACAGCATTATCCTGCTCGCACCGTCTCTTTCGGGAGTCTTGCTTATTTCCTTCCTACACCAAACCGGGAATGAGACTCTGACCTTTGTGAGAGCCCTAGATCCGCACCTCAGAAAACTCTCAATGCCCGAGACATGCGAGGAAACACACTCCTTCCCACCCGCCCGCGTGGTGCCCCCTCCAAGCCCCCCTCGGTCACACTCCCACACTCGGGCCCGGACTGGGTCTGGCTCTTCGGCTTCTGACGAGTCGGCAGCTTTGCACGATTCTTCAAAGGGGCCACCCAAAAGGGGGGCCAATATTTGGTAAGGAGGAGCACGAGGAGGCCACAAGAGCGAGACACGTAAAGAGATCTTCGCGTATCATTTCTCTTGTACGAACCGCTACCCCAAACGTTTTGTCGTACTAAAGTGAGATTTTGTGAGAAAACAGAACTATCTCGGAGATTTGTCTTTACTCCTTTTGATGATTTGAGTCCTACAGGCACTTCTAGACCCGCCTCACCGACAGATGAATGACTCGGTAAGGCTACACGCTAAAGGCACCAGTCTCGTCTCTTGGATGCATTTTTGGGACATGCCTGGGTGATAATAATATTATCTGTATCGAATACCCATTTTTGTGCTTGGGGTTTGTTCCAAGACGAAATATTCCCCCCTCCCCCAGGCCCTGCTTTCCTGTCCCAGTCCTGCATAAGAAACCTACCTACGTCTGGCAAGCAGTAGAACTTTCCTCCGCGGGCTTCATCCGCGTACACATACCGTTCTGTTGATTTTGCGCGCCGCTCGATTTTCCTTGGATCGGATGTGCGTACGAGTACGTACGTGTACACCTTGGGACAGAAATCCACGCAAAGTCCGTTGATGAGACTATCTGAGGCGGTGGTGAGTTTGGAGCCTCGTGGCGGACGCCAGTGGGAGAAAAAGGGGCTCCGATAGCGGGGTTGTTGGACTCCGGCGCTAAGAGGTTGGCAGTTGACAGGCTTGACAGGAAGCGGGACTATTGAGGATGAGCTACCTAGTAATTAATTACTCATGGTGCTCGATAAAGGGTACAGGGGGATGGATTCCACGTGGGGTCCACGTGATAATATCCGTGTCTGTGTCAGCTTGTTCCACGACAACTGACACATCATCATAGCTATGGAATGTACACTCTTGACAATATATCGTACCAATCCGTCCCCGACGCTGTGGTCTTGTTGCCATTGAAATTCGACACCGTCACAGATGCCAGGCTGCCGGGACTGATATCGAGACTTGAGACAGGGACTTGACCTAGTGACGCTCAGAGCGAGCACCATTCGGCCTTTCCCACACCAGCCCATAAATCTCATGTCGCACACGTACTTGTTGATTCCCCTGTCCACGAGCTTGTAGCTCGGTAGAACCCACTTTATTAGTCTGGCGTGGTTGGACTTGTCATAGAGGGTCGTCGCACATCAGCACCTCCTCCTCCGCATAGTCCAGGTGTGAAGCCAGAGACATCCTTCAAATTAGCCGTGTCAACGGGTTGGGCACGATGCTCGCAACCGACGCATTTAATAGTAGCCTTACCACGATATCCTGCGTCCGGTTGTCACCTCAGCGCAAAGATTCTGGCGTCTTCAACAGCAACTCTGATCATCTTCTTCAGGTCGGCTTTCCAATCGCTTTCACGCCACTTCTCCCATCGGCCGAACCCTTCATCAGCTTCTAGGTTCAACGTCTCATAACCTTCTTTGATGACCTTCTGAATCGCGGCTGGCGACTGATGCGTCTTCTTGCCATGCTGTGCTTTCAATAATTCGTGATAATGAGATGAGACGCTAATCAGGGCCTCGACCGATCGCTTCAGGGTGTCGGACTGGGGACCCCCATCGCAATATGACTGTTTGAATCTGTACAGAACTTCGTTTCCCTCAATGAGCTTGTAGAAAAAGTCATCGAAACTGGCCGGATCAGGTAGAAAACCGTCACCCTTTGCCAAACAGAATGCAGTTAGACTCGCAAGCGTCGCACACAAGTCTTCCCGAATGTCTCTGAGGTGTTTCAGGTCGGCGGCATACTGCGTGAGAAACCGCATGAGTGACAAGAGCGAGCCCCAAATATACGCCCAATGATGCTGAAGGCGTGTCTTGGTCTGTTCGAGGTGGGTAACAATACGTAGTATGATGCCCAGCGCAAGGCTGTACAGGCGGACGTCCAGTCTCTTTCTTAGGTTGTGGCTAAGAATATCGGTACATACATCCAGAATGGCAGTCGCAGGGATCCTTGCAGATGTGACCAATGGAAGGTGAGGTGGCCTTTGACGACATAGTCGAAATAACGCTTTTGCATCCAGCGAACAAATTTTTTTGACCAGTGCAGGGTCTTCCACGATGATCCTGATGGACAGCAGGCTCAAGACGGCGTATGCTGACTGTCGTGGGCCACGATAGGCATGGTGTGAGATATACGAGGTCATTGACAGGAAGGCAGAAAATGGTGTCTCCTTATCTTTCTCGGCAGGTAGATTCAGAAGATTCGCAGCAAATAATTTGTTTGCTTGGGTGAAAGAGTACAGCGAAAGGATACAAGCGGCATCTTCCCCGGGTAGAGAAAGGAGCATAGCCTTGGCTTCCTCTTCTGATGGAGGTGCTGCTTTCTTTGCGTCAGTTGACAACGACCGAAGTCCAACCATGACAAGCGTCGAATTCAAACTCCACGGTACAGGATAATCATCTTGAACAGACACATACTGGTCACGTATGACTAGACATGCAATGGCAAAATTGCGAACCAGAAGTCTGATTGCTTCCTCGTTGACGAAGTCTTCTAGCCGGTTCTGGTACACGTTTTGAGCTTCGAATTTGTTGTAACTGGACAATATGCCAATGACCATAGATGCTTTGAGGCTGGTTGTGGGAGATTCGGGTATATCGTGGACATACTGGATTGAAGATGAGAATAACTTCTGGTCAGAGGGAGTGTGCCTACCTTCATCAACGCCGAAAAGAGATCGCGGTGCATGAAATAGGTGACCAGACTTGAGTGGAAGCCGCCGGCAACCAGTGCGAGGGCAGTATCAAGTGCTTTGCTTCGCAACGAATCCTTGTCCGCCTGGCGAATGGTTGTTTCAAGGATGTGGACGAGATCAGACATTGACATATCAATCGTGTCCAGCCCGGAAAGTACTTCGATCACATCGGTATTGGGGTTCGTGTACTTTTTCGTGAATACGGCGCACAGGAAAGCTGTCAGGTTCTTAAAGATGTCAATTTCAATGCGTTAATCAGGAGCAAATTCAAGAGTAACGTACGTCAAAAGCATTTTCGTTCCGGGAGGAATCTCCCGAGCCCGCTTCAATTATGGCACGTTTGAAGAATACCCTCATCTGCGTCTAAATAGCCGTTAGACGTGGGAAAGGGGCCGATGCAAGCGTGAGAGCTGACTATACTTGCATATGGACAAGGTCGAAAGCTGTCATGGGCTCGAGAATATCATAGAGACGCTGCTTGTCAGGCTTGTGAAGGAAGAACTCCCGCCAGAACCCCTCGGATGGCACCGACTCATCACCATCCTCATTTGCGAGAACATTGAATAGATGGAGGTAGAGTTGGATGATTTTGGGTTCGAAGGAGTCTGGCCTCGTTTGTTGGGTCAAGGGAGTCTCCATGGCGATGGTAGGAGTCCGGAGCTGAGTTAGTTGCGGAGCCAATCCGATCTCATAATCCTTGGTTGAGGCGAAAGTTGGTACTATGGTGGCAAGAGAAATGATCGAAGGCTGCGGCAGAATTGAACGAAATATGCAAAGTTGGACTGCCGGCGTTGACCTGTTTAGCCTGCAAATGTGATTGATGGCGACAACACAATTGGCTGATGCCAGTGTCAGAAGTGCAGAGATATTTGTCTGCTGAGCAAGTCACTCACGGACAGCACTTGTTTTGAGCCCAGGCCATCACGTTCCATATGTGTCTACCTCGTCTACGTCCAGCACTAGGCAGATAAAGAAACATATCAGACCAAAAAAGTTGCATTATCTGTGTCACGTGTAAAAAATGCTGTCACGTGTTAATGTTGCTGTGTCACGTGCGTGTTGAAATCAGCCGCCGCCGATTGGCTGGTTGCTGGAGCGAAGTCGGCTGACAAACTGGGATGCAGAGAATGACGGAACTGCCTCCCCAACCTGCGCCTCCATGTTCAAGATATACATACACTCATACTCCTCCAGTTCTAGAGCCTCTCCTCAGTACCGAAAAACGGCGCACTTACGACAGACCTCTAAAATGTCGACGACACAATTTATCCCAGCAACGTCTTCATCCATTCTCTTCTTCCGGGCCCTGGCAATTGCCTCGGTCGCGAGAGCATGTCCGCACCATTCGTTGAGGACCTTCTCTTCCAGTATAGCCCCTCGACAATCATCGAAGAGAGAGTTATACACTGCGCCGTCTTATCAACCCCATACACTGCCTGCCGATTTTCCTCTCCCTCCTAGAAACACCAACATCCCTGACACCTCGATCGCTGGACCCAACCCGCAACTCAGTGAAAAGAGACAAGACAAAAGAGACGCCGTACAGCAGAACACACTAGAGGAAGCTGCAAGTATAAGCGTACCAGAAAGAGTGGCACAGAAACCGAAGCCAGTACAGACGGCGCAACCCGAGCAGACCAAAACAGCGAAACCCCGGCGAAGTAAACTACGGCCTCGGAAGGCCGCCATGACCATAACACCCAATGCGCTTGTCCATCTACGCGAACTTCTGGATCAACCCAATCCCAAGATGATCAGGGTTGGTGTCAAGAATCGTGGCTGCTCAGGCCTCGCATATCACCTGGAATATGTGGACAAGCCCGCTGCCTTTGATGAGATTGTTGAGCAAGAGGGGGTTAAAGTCTTAATCGACAGCAAAGCACTATTCAGCATCATCGGCAGTGAAATGGACTGGCAGGAAGATAAGCTGAGTGCCAGGTTCGTCTTTAAGAACCCCAATATCACTGAGCAATGCGGTTGTGGCGAGTCCTTTAGCGTCTCATAATAGACAAATGGATCGAATGCTCCGAACCCAGCAGGACATATTTACGAGAGCCAATACAATGGTCAAGACCCTGTACAGCCAATCCCTCTATATGGCAGCCCGTTATTGAGAACCATGAGCATCCCCTAGTACACACCCTTTTCATAGTCGATTACCCGGACATCGTCGAATCTGGGTCCGTTCTTCTTGACAAATGCTTGGTGTATTGGATCGGTGGCAACATAATAGTCTCGATCCTCCTTCGAAGCGAACTCGACGACAAACCCATGAGTGAATCCTCCCTTTTGAGTCGGTCAGTCCCCGTCTTTCGACTTCGCGAATGAGTGGTGGGACTGGACGAACCTGAGCACCTTCCGGGCTGTTATCTACTCCGCCTGATGAGGAGACAATATATGGCTTGTTGGATGTTGGGTGGATACAAGTGTCTTTCAGGGACAGCATATCATCGCAAAACTGTTTTATGTTAACTATGGTCTGTCAATGCATCGGTTGTCAAGTCCAACCTCTTTTCTCTCGGTTTCGCTCAGTGCAGATTTGAGTTTGAAAAGGACGATATGTACAATCGCCATTTTTACGATGCTTCGGTCAAGTCTTGCTGCTATGAATGAAAATGTACTTCCTTATGACGACCCTGACTCCTGTTCTTTCCGGATTGATCATCAAATCTATTCGTGCGGATTGTCAAGTTGATGTTATCCCAGCCTGCTCGATAGCCTGCGGACACTTTTGTGCGGGGTACATGTCCATTGCGTTGCCCCTCTGAAGCTTGTTCATCCTTTGTTGACTGCAGAGAGAAGTATTCCTCGCGCACAGTCAACTTTTCTTGAAAGAACAATACTCAGCACATTTCCACCTCACGAGCTCCTCGAGCCTCTCGCGTTAGTAACCGAGACGAGATCCTCCCAACGATACCTACACTGCCACTTGAATTCATCCATTCCGCTTGCCCGTCCGTTGCTCCGAGCATCGATATCTGCGATAACGGTATATAATCCTAACCTCGCACCTCAGAGAAAACCACCTCTCTAGCCGTCGGCTAGAACAGCCGGGGTCTTCCCAATAATCCTTCTTTTCCTCGTTCCCAACATGGCTAGCCACTCTCACGACGGCGGGCCTTCTCACTCTCACTCCCACGATCACACAAATGGGGCGAACCATGGCCATACGCATGAGATCCTCGATGGGCCGGGCTCATATCTGCACCGCGAAATGCCCATAGTGGAGGGCCGCGACTTTAGCGATCGCGCGTTCACAATCGGGATTGGTGGGCCAGTCGGGTCAGGAAAGACAGCACTGATGCTCGAACTCTGTCTAGCCCTCCGGAAGGAATACAATATCGCGGCCGTGACAAACGACATCTTTACAAGAGAGGACGCCGAGTTCCTGACGAAGCACGGCGCGTTGACGCCGGAGAGGATCGTGGCAATAGAAACGGGAGGATGTCCGCACGCCGCCGTCCGCGAGGACATATCGGCCAATCTCCTCGCGCTCGAGGGCCTCCACGCAAAATTTCAGACCGACCTGCTCCTGATCGAGAGCGGCGGCGACAACCTCGCGGCAAACTACTCGCGTGAGCTGGCCGATTTCATCATCTACGTTATCGACGTCGCCGGCGGGGACAAGGTGCCCCGCAAAGGTGGCCCGGGCATCACGGGCTCGGACCTGCTCGTGATCAACAAATGCGATTTGGCCGACGCTGTGGGCGCGGACGTCGATCTGATGGAGCGGGAGGCGAATAAGATGCGTGAGGGCGGACCCGTCGTGAGGGCCGTCATCAAGAACGGCGTGGGCGTCCACGAGACGGTCGATTTGATCCTGTCTGCGTGGAAGAGCACCGCGGGCTATCAGCGAAGCAAAGAGCAGTGGGCCAAGGGCGTACCGAGGGGAAGCGGCGAACAGCCCGCTGTGAACAGGTATACAAGTGTATTCGCTGGTTCAAGGTAACATGCGTTAGTGATAGGGATATGAATGCTCGGAGTCGGTGTTCATTCACAACAGCTGGGCTGTCGGGCATGGAAGGAATCAAAGGACATTGCGGCACTTTGCTAGGCGGGATAGTATGGAAAGGAGGATCTTTGCGGAGGACAGACATACATACATATATCATGTCTGTTTGTGCGATTTGGGCTACCATTCACCGTAACAATCCTACACCCCTTTCTTAGCAAATCTCGACAACGCCGGCCCCAACTCGAGTTTATCCTGCTTGAGCCTCTCTTTCTCCCTCTCGGCTCTCTCCTTCTTCATCTCCTCCAGTCTCATCCGCTTCTCGTCGATGATATTCTTCCCACCTTTCTTCCGTAAGTACCTCCTAAGTGCACTATTCTTCCCTCTGGCCCGGTTCTTCTCTCTCGCCTTCAACTTAGCCAGGGGATCCTCCGCGGGCGCGTCGAGGTCCTTTTCGCGCCTGCGCTGCTCCGCGCTGCGTGCGTCCAGGGTACCGATGAAATTGGGGTCCAGAGCGATAGTCTCTGGTTGGAGTTTGGTGAGAAGAGATTTAACTTCGGTTTCTTGTCTCTGTTTGCGCGTCTCGTATGGATTGACCTCGAGGGCGTCGTAGTTGGGTTCGCCGGCCCCGGGGACGATGATGCTGCTAAACCCTTCCGAGTGCGAGATGCCGAGGATGTCATCAAATGGACAGAACTGGACGTTTTCGACACGGTGGCCGTCGTTGCCCCAATTGAGATAGGGGGACTGGACCTTTGGAGGTCCGGATGATGGTGAGGTGGTGAGGAGGTCTTTCCAGATCGTCACAGCCGTACCACTTGCTACAGCTGCAAGGCCGCGGTCTGATATACTTATCGAAGACGCGGGTTGTCGCGTTGTGTAAGAATGAATCTCTTTCCACGTCCGAATGTCCCAGAGTTTCAAGCGCAGATCTTGTCCACCGCACAACATGTAATTACCTGAACGGTCGACTGCTATTGACCGAACAGGACCAGAGTTCGATTGGATCTTGACCAGTGGCGTCGTAGAATTGGGCGACCAGAGTGAGACTGTACCGTTCTGATGACCGACATGGAGAATAGCATTGTAGGGATTTTGAGCAAGGGCAGTCGGTGGCCCTTTTCGGGTTGGGTGTTCAGCCACTATCTGGCCAGTCGATGTGTCCGTGTATCGAAGGAATCCACTATTCTCGATGCCGGCAAGGAGGAAATGGTATGGGAGGAATTCGAGATGCGTGGTCTCAACATACTTTCTGAGGCAATGGATTTCAACTCCCGCATGGTCGTAAATGTAAGTGTGTTTTTTCTGCGCCACAGCGAAATATTGATCGTTGTGTAGCCATTTCGCGTCTCTTACTGTCTCGTTCAAGTGTAACTCGCATCCTGGTTTGCCTGCGCGCCATTCGCAGGTTGCAATATGGCCTTTTCTGCCCGCGAGGAGCAAACTGCGCCCGTTCCTCGTATAGTCGGAGACGTATGGCCCCAGATCAAGCCTGAATTCGATGGACTTGTGTGCTTGCTGGAGACCAACCGCATCTAGGATTTCCTCTTGCCGGACCTTGTATGTCTTCTCAAGTTCCGTCTCTGGTTGCAGAAATCCCTCCTCGTTCTCGTACAGTATCTCCGCATCTTTGGCATTCAAAACTGCAGTACGGTATTTGGTCTCGATTCTTTTCAGGTTCGCCCGTAATTTCTTATCCTTGACCTCGTTCACTCGAACAGGGCGCCCTCGGCCATATTTCCTGCGTGCGTCGGCCACTCGTTTCTGATTTTCCTTGTCTTCGGTGGTCAAAGGCCCTGTGCTCGTAGGTTTTCGTTTGGTGGGAGGTGGAAGATTTTGGATGGTGAGTTGACCGTCGCCATTCTCAACGAGGCTCTCCATTGTTCCAAAATTATCTTGTGAGTTAGACGCTTTACAGTGCTATGGCGCTCAATCGAAAAAGATGGTCAAAAATTTCAGGCCTCTACTACCCGAAGTTGGACCGAGCTCCACACCGCCAACTGAGGTCATTTGGTGACCACTGTTCCTCCCACCCACCTCCTCCCACGGTACAGAGCACCAACGGAAGCCCTCAACGTGTTGCTCCTGTGCATACACGTATTATCCTGCGTGCACTCAGACTGTGGATCTGACTCCCCTCATCCCCTAGGTAATAAGGCCAGCTACCTAACCCCACCTTTTCACGCCTTAGCTTCTGAACAAGCTTGACCAAGGATTTCTCCTCTCGAGTCAATTGAGAGGCCGTCGTCTGCGTTGATTCGAAATCTTGTTTGAGCATGTTGCCCCAGACCTGGGAAGCTCCCATCCCTCTCCGTCAATATGCGGCCTTCCAACAACTCCGAGCCACGAAGCATCCCCTCCAAAGCTCAGGCCCCTTAGGTCCGCTATTAGGCTTCTCAGACCACAGAGCTGTCGCCATACAGCGCGAGGTGGTCAGCCTCACTTGTCTGTGCCTTGACTGAACCGCCATAAAAGTTCTCACACGAAAGGCTGACGAGTCCGCACACGTCAGCGGCTGCAAATGAAGCTCTAGCTCTCTACTCGGGGATAAAAGCTGGTCCTCTGCCAGGTGTCCTGGATTGAAGCTGAAATTCCGTTACCGAACACTCGCGATTCACGAGAAAAATGTTGCTACCTATGCTTCTCTTTGTATTCTATGTTTCAATTATCGCTGCTCAATCCACAGTCACGGTGCGCGACAATGCCCACAATCTTACCTATGTAGGTTTCACCTTCGCAGGGACCGAACAGTTTCAGGGCATCAACTTTGGGCAGGACACATCTGGCGCCAACCGCTTCAAGCCACCCAAAGCCTTCACCTATTCCACAGGTACCACCATCCAGGCCACAGCTGCAGGCGCTGCTTGTCCGCAGAACACGATCTTGTCTTTCCTGGGTGCCATCAGCCAGAATCCTGGCGTTTTCAATGTCTCGGAGGATTGTCTGAACCTTGAGATTGTGAGACCTGCTGGAACAAAGCAAGATGCAAATCTTCCTGTAATGGTCTGGATATCTGGCCAAGGTGATGAAGAAGGTTCATACAACTACTCGTTATACAACCCTACAGCGCTCGTGACAGGTGCTGCTACCAAGGGCACGCCGGTGATATATGCGTCGATGAACTACCGTGTCAATATCTTTGGATTCGCCAACAATCCCGCGCTTAGGACGGAAGGGTCGCTGAATGCTGGTTTGCTCGACCAGCGGCTGGCACTGCAGTGGATCCAGTCCAATATCGCAACATTTGGAGGAAATCCAAAGAATGTCACAATATTTGGCGAAAGTGACGGCGGCGTAAGCGTGGGCTTGTAAGTATCCCCAGCGAACGATGCCTACCCTTGACAGAACTATACCCGGAGAGTTATATCTCTTAGCTTGTCGAAACTAACGTGCAATAGGCATATGACGTCCTTTGGCGGGAACGGTAAGAATTGGCGGCCAGCTGCCGATTGAGATGCTAATTCCGACATTACCAACAGGCACTGCTCCCTTTCGGCGTGCTATCATGCAGTCTGGGGCCGCAGCGAGCGATCCTGGTGTCAGTGGAAATGCGACCTCCACGAACACTGCGGCGGTGGCTCAATTGGCAGGCTGTACAGGGACAAATAGCAGTCTAGTCTTGGACTGTCTCCGAGAGATATCCATGGTCCAGCTCCTGAATGCCGTTCTCTTATTTGAGAATTCAACTACCGCTACCGAAGCTAATGGTGCATCTCAAGATTTATTCTTCCCGACTGTTGACGGAAGCTATATACCGGCCGCTCCCTCGAATTTAATCCGCACAGGTCGGTTTCACAAAAACATCTCCATTATTGCTGGCTGGAATGAAAATGATGGCAGCATCTTCGTGCCTCCAACACTAAATGGGTCATCTGCTGCACAGGCTTTTCTGAATTCATCGTATCCGCATCTCAACTCAACTACGCTATCAACGCTGATCTCAATGTACCCAATCAGCGACTTCATTGCGGTCGCCCAAGCCACCCAGATCTCACCTTATTTCCTGCAAGCATCTCAGATCTACCGCGACATCAATTTTGCTTGTCCATCGATTGATATATCTCACCACGTTACTCGGTTTGGCAGCACAAGCTACCTGTATGTGCTCAACACGACTTCATTGAGCAGCGTGCTGCAACTTTTCAATGCGAGCTTCGAAGGAGTCATTCATTTTTCCGATGTACCTTTCGTCTTTAACCAACCCAACGTCGGTTTTGGAACTACGGCCGCGGCGAACGTGACTGCAACCAGGATGTCGGGTAGTTGGGCTCATTTTGCCGCAACAGGGAATCCGAGTGGCGATTCTGCTATCACTCTCTTCGGCTGGACTCAAGCCTTTAACAAGACCCAGGCTGCAGTGCCGAGTCAGAATGTGACAGGTGCGAGCATTAGAGTCATTGGCGGTCCTCGTGCTGGACAAGCGCAATTGTCGTCAAATGGTGAAGCTGCAGTGGAGCCTCGGCTTTTGGAACGATGTGCATTTATCAATTCGGCGGCGTTTTATCAGCAGCTGCAGACGTAAATTTCTGCGATAGTCACCGTTTGTTGAAGGACCCCGGGCCATAATACTCAGGCTGACACTCTATCCCAGAGCCTCGCGCTGGGCCGTAGGAAATATTAATACTATCTGGCGAGAGATTCTCAGCGGCTGCATGCATATCTGGTTCATGATCCTTTGACGGATCGTAGTACTACACTATCTGATATTACTATTTACGAGGAATAAGTACAATCTGCCGACAACAGCCGAGGGTTGGGAATTAGTAGTCTTTGGTACTCCTGTGGAAGCCTCGTGAGTCTACAAGGCTGATTTTATAGCCTAACCTAAAATGGTTAGACTGTCATTCGGCAATATGATTTCATTCTTGCCTTCCTTTCACAGTTGCACTTGCGAAGTCGGAGTTGGATTCTTCAACTACTACTAGTACGTTGTTACAAATGGCCACCGACAAAAACCCAGAGTAATGTGATCTTTCTTTTATGCCTTTTCTCTTAATTTCTTTCCAACCTGGCAAATACATTCTGCATACACTCAATTTATGGTCTGGATCAGCTAGACTCGGCTGCCATGTCGTTCGGCATCTTGCCACCCGAGGTACACTCTATGATTATTGGGCTGGTCGCAGACAACTCATCATGGAAAGAAGGACTACGTCTTCGATGTGTCAACCGTAGGTCGTCTCGGGAAGTCCGTCAATTCATCTCAATGGAATGTGCCCAATGACACTGTTTCTGGCAGGTCTCTTCGATCGTGAAATTCAGGCTCAATACTTTGATTTTGGCAACATTCACACCAGCATGGACGAGGATACGGATCGAATAACACTAAGAATGGGCCTCCAGCACTTATACCGATTATTGAAGGGACAGATATGTGCCCGACAACCGAGAACCGCCCTTATTGCACACCTAAAAGATGCTGTTAAAATCCTATTATCGACACCCACATTCCATATCCCCGACAGTTGCCAAGCAAGATATGTCCACACAGTCAATGGCACAATACGACTAGAGCCAGGAGGTCGCGCATCTCAGGCTGCATCCATGGTCGCGCTTGGAGTTCTCGATTTCCTGGCCGGTGACAAGATCCCACTGTGCGTGCCGCTGGCTCGTCTCACCCGAAGTCCGCGGCAGATCGACTCCCTCTCTTGGGCTATCGTGACGGCAATTTCCATGAAAGACACTGCCACCATCAAAACTCTTGTGGAACAACTGCCTGATATGAGCGTTCGGAAGAATATATGTGCCGATCCCCTACGCTTTGCCGTGACTAGTCATTGGTACGACATGGTCCAGTATCTCCTGGACCACGGTGCGGATGTCAACGCCCCACATAATCATGCACATTGTTCACCAAAATACGAGCGAATGCTCATCGAACAACCTTGTCTATCGGGTGACGTCAGAATGGTTACGCTGCTACTTGAGCCCCAGTATGGCCTCAAACTCGATGCAGCAGACTGTGATAGACTTCTTTGGTCGATCGTGCGGAAGCTCGCGGTAGGCCAAACTGATGACACAAGTAGTATCGAAATCATCCGTCTTTTCTTACGAACAGTACCTCGGAACACCAAAGGTTCCGTGCAGCACCTCGTCGTGCATCTTGCTGTGGTATACGACGTTCCGGAGCTGATTCCGATCGTTGTAGAGATGGGCTACGATGTGAATGAGACAGAGGGAGGGAGATCGCACCTGTCTCTTGCGGCAGCCCGTGGACAATTCGAAGTGGTCAAGGTACTGCTCGACCATGGAGCGCGGCACGGTCTTCAGAGTGACCTTGATGCTGTGCGGGCAGCCTGCGTAAATGGAAGGGCAAGCGTGCTTCGCACGTTGCTTACAAGAGTGACTACCATTGACGAGTACGGTCATGCCTTGGCTGCCGGTCACTTCCTGCTCGCAGCCAAGGCAAGCTGCAGCGACCATGAGACAATGTCGCGTTACATCGAAGTGTTGGATTGCCTCTGGGAACATGGACTGGATCTCAATGCCGCCAACTGTGGTGTCAAAGCTCTGAGGTTTGCCATTGAAAATAATCACAGCGTGCTTGAAACAAACCTTTTGGGAAAGGGAGTTCATCTGCCTGATAGTAATCCATCAGACGCAAATCTTGGAAAGTCCGTGACCGACATGAGCATAAGAGAGAACTCCTAGTATCTAACACGTTAATCGAAGTTCTTCAACTTGTTTCACTTTGACGCGTTGATAGCACATGTAAGAGTTGTTTGGTTGCCAACAAGCCGACCTTTGTGAGAAGGGCCGTTTCATTTTCCATAGTAAATGCGCCACCCATTTATCCTAAATGGGTAAATCCGAAAATGAGCTAGTCCGAATCCGGGCCTCTGTACAGAATAACTTACTAAGTACTTACCTTGCCAACAAGTTCAATGCACAAAACTACTAAGTACTACTGAGTAGTAGTAGTGATACAATCAACGTTTGTTTGAAGATAATGTCATTTATCTATCGGTCGTCCCAATCTTGACGTCGTGTGGAAGAGAGCTAGCTAGCTAGCTGGTCGTTCCTTCCCAATCCAATCAAAAATTTCCCATCCCATAGCCGCACCGGTGCGTCCTTCCTTGCTATCCTCATATTCGTTACACGGGTGAGTAACTCGGTAAGAACGTAACGAGTGGCAGTCATGGTTAGAAACGATCCGAGTGACTCAATTTACTTGTTTAAACCCTCTTTCTTCTGTCCAGAAACCTCGTCGAGTTGTTCTTGGTCCCTCTTCTCCTTCCACTTCAGCCCCGCCCCGTCCAACAGACTCCAAACCCTGGAGATCTTGCCTTGTTCGAGGGCGTAGAAGACGTGCTCGTAAAACGTGTCCTGCGTGGTCGGCGTGGGCTTGTAGGTCAACTTGATCCTGGCGGCGATCGAGCCATCGTGTTTGTCGCCACCAGGGTCAGAGGGAGATGAAACGCTGGTGGTGGTGGTGGTGGTCTTCAAGTTCTCCGCGACGAGCATGTCCACCGCAAAGTGCAGCCCGGGGAGGTCTCTCTTGCTGTCCCCTATGAGCCTCGCGTATTCATCGACCTCCATGGGTGCCGAGTCGTTGTGGACCACGCCGTGCTTGACGAATTCGTCGAGATCTCCAGGGCCGCATCTGCTGGAGTTGATCTTGTCGATGTAGGCCAGATACTGGCGTCTGAGGTCCCCATCAAAGGGTTTAACGGTCGGTTTGTTGGTAGGAGCCCACACGTAGCTTTTCCCGTGCCATCATTAATATATGTTTGTAGCGGAGAGTGATGGTGTGTAGCTGAGTATTAGTTGAACAGGGTTTGTTTTCACTTACTCGTCATCTTCGTCCTCGTCACGGTCTCGGTCCTGCAACACATATCTCTCCTTGCCATTGGGCTCGGTCTCTTCCATGATGGCGATCTCGCTGAGATTCGATATGATATTGTCGATGGTCGTCCCAATGTCCGTGTGGTTGGAATGGTGACCGTGGTGCGACGAGTCACGGTGTCCGTGTGCGTCGTGCGGCATTAGAGTAAGAGTTCGAAAACGTTGATACTTGGCGCTTTAGAATTGTCGAATTGTCTTTGATTTACTGGTCAAAAAGGGATGAGAGGAGGCATTCCTAAGCATCCTCTGGCCGCCTTTATGGTTATACGCGCTTTAATATGAAGATCTTCCTGTCATCAAACGATCAAGTCCATCGTACCACTTTCACGTGACCACGAACGGCCTTCCAATCGGGTTGACCCTCGGCTTTTAGGTGCTTGTGACAGTCAATCTACAAGAGCACTCTGCGAAAAGACGTTGCCAACGTTCATGTTGATCCTGTCCCACTGTCCAGCGGTGAATGATAAAGATGAGAAGCTGGATGCGAATCGGTATATGGTACATGTTCAATCACATGATCAATAAAAGGGGCATTGTACGGCCTTGAGGCCGCCCAACCTTGACCCTCTGAATAACGGTCCTAGCCTCGTCGACACGTACCGAGTATACTCTTCTGTGTGTGGGGGCTGAGTAGGGGCAGAAATCTGCTATCTAGGAGTTTCGAGATATCTAGACGGCGCAGGAGCTAAACTTGCCAACGCTGGCCCGCCCCCTCTAGGCGACTACGGATGAGGTTGATTAATCAATGTTGTGGCGATCCTGTTCCTTCGAAAGGTCTAAAATGTTTTAGCGAAGGCGCAAAAGTACTATAGAATCGCATCTTCAAGGGGCTGGAGATTGAGAAAGGTGGTTTGGGTGACGGGCTGAATGTCTCCAAAGCAAGGCCTTCTCCACAAGCTGAAGCACTTTCTGCGCCATATCCTCTGCCAAGGCTCGTGCCAAGTCTTCCGCCAAGGCTATAAGGCCACCCCAGGCCTCAACGACCACTAGACTAATTGGGGCTAAAATTGCCATTTATGGTTTAGCGTCACAAGGCGACAGACGGACCAGTTTCGCCTGACACACACAACCTCGTCGTGCCTTATTCATCATCTTCTCGTACCACCAGTCACCCACCAGTGCTAGGTCCCTTTCGAGCTTGTGTGTTCTCAGTATTGACCCAAAGTCTTACACGCAACATAGACCCTTGACAGCACCGTTTCCCAACTCAAAATTGACTTACCTAATCTCTCCGTCTTGTCCGTCGCGCCACGGGCAATCTCAATCACTCATACAAACACTTCACAGCTTCCAAGCATCAATGCTATCACAACAGCAATAGGCACCCTGTTACTAATCCCTTGCTAGATCAGATGCCGAGATTGCAACCACAGCGCTGGGCCTAAACTCCTTCAGCACTCCTTCCTCACCCGTGGTTGGCCACATGATGAGTCTCCGTCAATCGATCCAGTCGCGGCCGCATTTGGCCTTCGCACAAGCCCTTTGGCGCAATCCTAGATCATTTCGCTCCAATCAACTCCAAACCCTAGCTTACCAGAGTGGATAGTGCCTACTAACTCTCTGGCCTGCTGGCGGCGATTTTAGACTTTTGGCCCCAAACGTCTAGCCACCGTTCTAGCCAACATTGGGATCTCAATGGTTATTTTAAAGTCTCCCACCTCTTCAAAAGTCAAGCCATCGCCATGTCTGACATTTCGCGGGCTCTACCGTCTTTGTGGTGGACTGCTCGCCGCGGCGGTATTTCCGTTCTGATATAACACTCATTTTTGCTGTCAATATGACTTCTCACTACTCTCGTTTAACCCATCGCGACACGAGCCGAGAGCATTTGGCGGATGACTCAGTCGAAGGTGCAGCTGGTGCTGGTGATGTTCCCCTGAAGAACATGAAAGGACATGCTCAGGAATGGAGTCAGCCGGGGTATAGCGACGACTCACTCAACGACCGCATGAAACCTGACAACCCAGACTATTTCCATGTCCGGCCCGGAGTGACAGGTATGGCCCGAAACGCAAGGTCCCACCATTCAATGCTTATTGACACGAATTCCAAGGCCAAAGCTACAACAGAACCGGCTCCGGATTCACCATACGCCCAACCGCATCATCGCCCTGGGAACACAAGCTCAACGAGAAACATCTCCGGGATGTGCCAACAAACACCGACACTGTCAGATACTTTGACCCTCGCCGACAGACGCGCAGAGTACTTCTCGACTGCTTGATGATGTGGTTTTGGACAGCTGGAATTTGTGGCGCTCTCGCAGGTACCATGTACGGCTTTTCCACAATCAAAACCGGACTCTCTCAGACGCAGAAGTACGTCTACAACGCCATGATCACCGGACTGTCCATTGTGCTCGGTCTGGCCTTTGCTGCACAATTCAAACAGTACGCCGAGATGATGCGCTGGAGATTCCTGGCCTCGCAGTATCGAACCATCCAGGACTTTGAGGATGTGCTTGGTTGCGACAGTTACCGAAGTGCACTGCGCATAATGTGGAAAGGTCGGCGTCGGGGCACGTGGTATCCGAGCAAAGCTCAAGTGGTTGCTGCCATTTGGATACTCATTTTTGTGGCCTTCAACACTTTTGCCGCACTTCTCGGTTTGACGTATTCCATCGATGTATCGGAAGACTTTGTGTTTTCAGCCCCTGGTAAGTTTGTAGCGGATTGCACTGCTTCAACCAGCCCTAAAGGCTTGATGATTTCGGCCCATTCCTCATACTGACATTTCCACAGGCAACATCAGCGTGGCCGACCTTCAATATATTTCGAGCCGAGAACAGCCCGACAACGGCAGGGACTACCTGCCGGAATACCAAAAGGCCGCCGCGAATCTCTGGGGTCAAGTAGGTCAGAATTTTAAAGAGATCACGTCTACACTCGACAGCTATGACGGCTCGTCCTCGTGTGTCTTCACAAACGTAGACAGGGACTTGTGGTGGTACCGGTTCTTGGACATCGGCCCCGACGGGAAGGCATCCAGCATTTCCACCAGGACCGTGACCAGTCAGGCACATTGTGTGGAATATACGGTCCTTCTCGGCGGCTACGCCGGGTTCAACACGGACAACGCAAGCGAGCTTTACGATGTCGCTTGGCAGGATGACCAGGGCAACGTGTTCTTCGACTCGGTGACAGACGTGGCAACCGCGTTCACGACCTGGATGGGCAATTCCAGCAGTCAAAATGTCGGCTGCGGTCCGCGCTGCAGCCAGATTCTCGCGCTCCAATCGGCCGACAACGACACGGTGCCAGTTCCTCGCATGTGGGCGTGCAACAATACGGTGGGGGAGGTGGAAGGCATCGAGGGAAGTGGCTTCGACCAACCGGAGCGGCTCACAATGCCCGACGACCAGGCCTTCTACCTCGCGGGATCAATCGGCTGGACCGGTGTCGAAACGGTGGACGACGACCTCCAGTTCTTCCGGTTCGACGGAGACACGCCCTTCAACCCGGCGGGCAACGCCACGGCCGAGAGCATCGCGGAGCTGGTGATGAAGTTCACCGTCGGCGCCCTGTCGGCCATGGACGAGAGCGCGCCACGGCAGATCTTGACGGGCCGGTTCAGCCCGCGGCCCGCGCAGGTTGTCCAAGTCAAGTGGAAGAACGCGGGGGCCATCCTGGCGGGGATCCCCGTCGTGCAGCTCGTCCTGCTCGTCGGCGTCGTCTGGTTCTCCGGCAAGGCCATCATCCTCGAGCCCAGCTTCATGACCGCCGCCCACCTGCTCTACCCGGTCATCAAGAAGGTCGGCCAGGACGGCTGCCTGCTCACCCTCGACGAGATGGCCGACCGCCTCGGCCACGACTACCGCCTCGCCTACGGCGTGCGTCCCAATCCCGCCGACCCGGGCCACCATGACACCACCTTCGTGCGCGACCTCGACGTCATCGAGGAGAAGGAAGGCTTCGGCTACATCCGCGGCCGCTTCCCAGAGGGGAGATACGACTGAAAAAAGAAACAAAACTCTTTGTAACACTACTGTGCATAGACTCCTTTGGGTGGGGAACGAAAGAACATATGCAGATATTTACCGTCCAACATCTGAGTGCAAGCGACGAGCGTGTTGTGTTGTCTATCTGGCCATCAAGCGATGAATGTCATGACCTCCTCAAGTTTTCCTCTCCACAATGTGATTGAAAATGAACCCTACTGTCAAAAAAGTTTTGCGAGCGTGATACTAATATAGACAAACGTGTGTATTATGCCGTCGCTATCGAGAGGAGCCATCTACCTAGTCCTCCCGCCTCGCTTTATACTCTTCTATTAATCGATTCCGGCTTTGGTCGGTAAAATGAGCCCCTCCAGTCTATGTACCTGTACCCGGACTCCAAGTTGTGCGGCGCATTCGAAAACGCCCTCAACTTCACAACCTCGCGGTCAAGAGTGCTGTCTCGTTCTCTGCGCCACTGTCTACCCGCCGACCGATCTCATCAAACTCGATCTTCTTCCCGGTGATGAGACTCTCTTGTAGAGCACAGCCGATCTTGACCGCCGCCACAGCCCCTTCGAGCCTGAATGGAGGCTCGGTGTCGTCGAGGCAGCAGGCAGTAAACTCGTTTGCTTCGGTGATGAAGGCCTCCCTAAATCGGCCGTAATAGTGAGGTGGAATCTCACGGCGGATGCCCGAGGATTCGTAGATGTTGACGAGATTGGACATGGGTTGCGTGTTGACGGCGAGTTTCCCCTCGGTGCCGGTGATCTCGGTGCCTGGTCACACACACACACGTGTTAGATGATATCCCGAAATGAACAAAGTGATCTCGGGCGCGGGAGCTTGGAAAGATTGGGCTACGGCCTACTGTCTTCTTGTCCAGCAGCCATCATTCTACTGCAGTACAACTGAGCAATTTTGCCTCCGTAGAATTCCACGATCCCCAACGCATTGTCACGATCGTTGTGTTTCCGCAGTTCGGGAGAGACGGCCGTGATACCAATTGCACTGACGGACTTGACAATCGAGTCTTCACCGAAGAACCACAGAGCTAGGTCAATGTCATGGATGGAGCAATCCACGAAAATACCACCAGAGAACTGTGCGTACTGCACAAAGAACCCGGACGGATCGAGCTTGTCGCAGGTCTGCGAGCGAAAGACAGCCGGGCGTCCAATCAAACCCGATCGCATTTTCTGGTGGGCATCTCTGTAGGATGCATCGAAGCGGCGGGAGAAGCCACAGATGACCTTTTGTTTGGAATAGGTCGTCTTCGCCGCCCGGTATGCAGTGACAACTGTCTGTGACTATCGTGGCAAGGGTATCAGCACGCACGTAAGAGGACACCGTGATACGACAGGAAAGGGGAGACTATTGCCACGTACAACTTCTGGATTTGTGCTGAGAGGTTTCTCACACAGGACGTGAAGGCCCCTTTTGATGGCTTTGATGGCCTGCTCAGCGTGAACGACGGTCGCCGAGGCGATGACCACAGCCTGCAACTCCTTCTCTTCCCTCAACATCTGGTCGTAGTCCAGGTATGTCCGCACGCCTTCCAGGTTTCGGGTGGCCCAGGCCAACTCTTTAGCGTCCGGCGATGAGACCGCGATCAACTCTGCACGAGGGGTCATGGTGTGGAAATGAAGAGCGTGACGAGATCCCATGCGGCCCAAACCCGCGATTGCGACTTTGAGCTTTGGCGAAGACATTTTGACAGCGGTTGTCGTGTCTCTGGATTGGAGGAAGAAATGCTGAAAAAGGGGGAAGATTGAAAGGCAAAAGAAGGTGAGAGTGACTTGCAAATAACCAACTGGGCAGGCACAAACACCGCCTCTATCTCTCACCCGCTCGTTCCCTCCACCAATGTACTATGAGTAGGATATGACAAGATCTAAACACAGTGCATCAGCCTGTATTACCCCTGAGGGAGATTTTCTCTGTTGACATGGACGATTTTGGCGAAAATTGTCGTGGGCGGTGAGCAAGGGTCATTGGCGATCTTTTACTGACCTGGAACGTTGTTCTCCATAGTCTGCCCGTGTCCTCCCCTGCACATCCTTGCCCCGATCAGACTGCGACCTAGACCCTCTCCTACGGTCGGAAGAAATTGCCCTGACGTGGACCATTGGGGCCGTGTCGCCACATCCTGTAAAATCTCCATCAAAAATAGTGGAGGGGGATTCGACGACCCACAAGACTTACGGCGAGAACAAGCGAGGCGGGGAAGAGGAGGATCAAAAACGGGCAATTCTCCTTCAGCTCTCGCACCCCTTATGCTTCCCAGCTTCCTATCGCCTCGTGGACCTCCTTCGGTGAAGATACACCTCGTCAAGGTTAGCCCATCAACGCTTATTACTCCGTGCGGCCCCATGACTGAATATGGAGGTTTCTCTACGCTGAAAATAAGCAAGAAGAGGAGGGAGATAATCGCCTGAAGGCCAAGGATGATGTGAACTACTTCATAAGCGCGAGGCAAGAATCAGAACTCGTTCTGATGGGCGCAGAGATGTTTCTCCCCCTCGATCACCTGCCTTGAGGTGCCCATATTCTCAGAAAGCAGTGTGCGACCACCGATACAGGCCATGGCTATTGCCGATGCTCGACAGCCACACGGTTCCTGGCTTGGTCCATAAGGCAACTTGGCACAAGTAATGCATAAGAGGCCTGCTCAAGCGAAGCGTCAACGCAGAGCCCAAGTAGAGACGAGAACCTTTTGGGATCAGTCATCGTCCTCCGTGGTGGAGAGAATGAGCCAGTGCACTTCTCCCTCGAGTCATGATTGCTGTGTTGATGCACAGGTCTCTTCAAGTTATATCATTCTACAGAGTTCACCTATCACTGATAGTCAGGGTTGGCCCACTACATGGTAGAATGCTGGATCATCTCCGGAAGCCCAGGGATCGCCACGAGCAACCACAAGACGCTGCCGGGAACAGTGACGAAGCATTTGCGCATCCGAGACTCCTCAGCATAATTTACTTGGGCTGTAGAAGACTATTGAGCTTGTCCGGAGATCGAAAGAGGAGCATGCAATTGACCAAACAGAACCACCCGCAAGTGGGAGGAATGTTTTTCTAGAACGAATCTGGAAAAGGGCGAGAAGCGCCCCCCGCATGTTCAGCCTCGCCGACAAAAATTCCCTTTTGGTCAGGAAATGGCATTCGTGAACAGTGTGGACAGACTCTATGTACTGTCTCGCAATGACCACGGACTCCATCCCTCCCTCCTATTGGCCACCACGCAGGGGTTATCGGTCTCTTGGTCAGTCACTGCGAAGTACATGTGACATGTGGCATGTAAAATATAGAGACACAGACAGACAATAACGCCGTTCTTACATCTAACATCTATCTCTACACACAAACATGTACAACTACACAAAGACGATCACGTACAAGGAAAGACACTCTACGCGCCACGCAATTTTCGTGTAAGGAAAGAAGAAGAAGAAACATTAGTCCTTTCTTCGATAAATACACCTGGGGCAAGTTCATTTCATTGGCTCGGTCTTGTGGCGGCGACGATGGCGTGAAGAGACATGCCCCCTTGGTGGCCCCTTGTTCAACAAATTCGGTCATCATCCCCATCGACACCCAAATACCTAGCTAGGTAGGTATGCTAGGTTTTGCACGATACTGTTTTCCCATTCACCCCAATTCCCTCTGGGGAACAGACTTGCCTGTTTCTCTCCTGCGTGCGCGCTTTCGTGCCTTGCAGAATCACGAATCAACTACTTCGCTGTCCTGGTCTGGAGATGTCTATCCACTTCCGCCTCCGCCTCCGCCTCCGCTTCCGCCACAACCGTCGTCGATCCCTCCAGATTGTGGATCATCTCATCCCCGCCCCCTCTGCCTATCTGCGACATTGTAATTATCATCTGCGGACAGGGCGGGCCCAAAGGTCTTGTCGCAGCGAAAGGACCAGAAGCGCGAGAGGGCGTAGGAGACGTAATTGTCCGCGTTCTGGATGGACTGGGACATGCCGGTGCGGGGGTCGGGCGGGAGCTGGTTGATGCGCATGGCGTTGTAGGGCCCGTAGGCGCCCTCGACCCAGGGCCCCGTGTAGTCGGTGATGCGGTGGTCGTGGTCCGGGACCAGGGTCGTGTAGTCCGGCACGCTGAGGAACATCCACGGCCAGTGCAGCAGCTCGTGCAGCACCGTCGACCCAATCACCTTCATGTACGCCGTGTCGCGGTCGCCGAGCCCGTCGCACCCGAAACCCGGCAGGGGCTCCCCCGTCGCGACGCCGCCGACGCGGCCCCACACCGGCGGGCTGATCGTGTCTCTGATCGACAGGCGCCACACAAACATAGGCGAGCCCGGGCATAGCGAGACCAGGCCCGAGAAGCGCGCAGTCGGGCTCGTGTCGTAGACCGTGTATGCGTTGTCGCCGCCAGCGCACGAGTGATCCAGGTCGGCCGGGTTGAACGGGTTGTCCCCGTAGGCGATGCACAGGGCGACGAAGTCCGGATTCCACGACGAGGGCAAGTTGGACTGGGCGAGCAGTTGCGGGACGTCTTGTGGGGTGATATCCATGAACAGGTCGACGTTGCTGATGGTTCTAAAAATGCGCTGCACAAACGTGTAATCCTGTGGCTGGAAATACCGCAGAAATGCCTGCCATAAGACAAATCAGCCCAAAGTCAAGCAAACCGAGGGATCGGGATCCGTGGGGGAAAAGGCTGATGTCGCGTCCTTCTGTCATCACAACTTACTGGGTCACAGTCCGTGGCTGTTATGGCGACAATCCTCGCAAGCGTCATGGCATCTTTGAACGCCTGCGTCACATTTTGTCTCGCCCCGGGGGGAGCATTCGGCGGGTAAGCGAGAACCGGAGGAGCTGCGACGCTGAGGCTCAGGTTGGAAAGAAGTAGAAAGAAAAGAGCTGGTATCGCACCTAGGACAGCTTTGAAGCTCATCTTGAGTGTTGTATGGCTGACGAGACTCACTCCTGACAGAGACTCAAGTGAGGTTTTTCCATTCCTTCCATAAGAGGCAGACGCACACGCGACTACTTAAAAACAAACTCGAAGGCAACAGATCTGAAATCGATTCACTCACCATATTCACTCGCTCGGTGAAGCAGGACGGGCGAAGAGAGACTGATCTTGAGTTGTTGGCAGAAAACAACACTGCGTTCTACCAGGCAGCGCAGGGACATTGTGACAATTTTGATATTGACCATACCGGAGTGTGAAGAAAGAAGAGAACTCTCACCCATACCTAGAGTGACAATTGCGACGGGACATTCGCGGCTCAGTAACAAGTGTGTTAGTAGTCATCGCCCTAACATGCACGGACATTAGCTCAAAAGTATGTGATTGAACAGACAGAGTGAATGACATTGGGATTCACTGGTGTGTATTTTTGTTGGTTTTTTTTGGTTCCAAGGTATTCGACGCGTCTCAGAACACATTCCCCGGGCCCTTCCAGTTGAGAACAGCTACAGGCTCCTGGACCGGAGTCATCTTCATCAACTTGCCGTAAAACTCCATACTTCTCTCCTTCCCGTGGCCGATGATGCACAGGCTCCGTCTCAAATAGGGCATGTCCTCAACGACTTCCTGAACGCAGCTGATGAGCCACTTCCCCAAGCCCTGGCCTTGCCACTCGGGTCGGACGTATACATCTGTTAGATAGAGCAGAGTGACACGATCGGTGATGCAACGGGCAAAGCCAATCAGCGAAGGTCCTTCTTCCTCTCTTATCGTCCCCGATGCCGCAGTATTGGCGGCGGCAACGCTGTCCGCGTCCGATTTGACATGTGTCGCGATCTCATGTAACGTTGCCGCAGGATCGGAGGACGTCGGATCAGTGCCTTTTTGACCCGGGTCCGCGCGCACAGGCGCAGGTGGTGTAGGTGTAGGTGAGTAAAGGCCAAAGCAGAGCGAGTTATCCAGCATATCCCGCATAACTGGTTCGGGAAGAGGTGAGGCCCAATACATGTCCTCCGAGGCGAACGCCTGGTTAAGTGCGTCAATAGGGATCAATGATGGATCCGTCGATATCATGAATCCATCTCGGGTCCATGTCTTTGAGGTCTCGACGGCGTGAGCGACGTGAGACATTGTATTTGCTCTGCCAGAGTCGCTAGGTACGAGCTTTGACTGTCTGATTGAGGCCCGCAGGCGAGGCTGATCGAGCTGCTGCCGGGTGGGAGGAAGTTGAGCGAGTGGCACTTCTAGATCACTTTGTAAAAGAGCCTCTCTGGTACAGATGGTGACTACAATCTAGGTCCAACCATTTGAGTCATCAACTCTGGATGAGGCTCCTTTTTGCCCGATTAAAGTAAGTTTTCCGAATGTACCTCGCATATATGCACATGTCATTATATACTCTACTATGTAACAGAAAGGGTTTTGTGACATGGCTCAGATACTATAGCTGTACTTATAACGAGACGAACGCAACCCAATCCTTAACCTCCTTTCCGTTTACAGTCCCCCCATCCAACACGAGGGTTCGCTTCGCTGGCCAGCTTCGTTACAAAATCCATCATCTTCAGCGCCAACACACCTGCAACAGTCTCACACGCAAATTCCGGCCAGAGGCGATTACAACTCGGGCTTCATTTCAATCTCCTGCTCTTTTTCCGAGTCAAGGTGCTCGTCAAACTCCTTTCCTGCCGGCCCAAAAAATACCTCAAACAAGCTCCTCAAATCCTTCGCCCGCAACTCCATATGTTCACCCGGCAAGCCTACGAACTTGAGGCCGCCCTTCGCATCCAGCTTCTTCAGGCCGATCCAATCCTCTTCGTAGATGGGTCTATCGCGGAGGCGTGTAATCGAATTTTCAGTCTCGTTGAATTCTGCAAACCACGCACTCTCTTTTGGAATGAGAGTTTTGTCGTCGTCGAAGAGGATCATCACAAATCTTTCGAGTGTGGCCAGATTCTGGGCGTAGGTGGCATTCTTGCGAGCGCGCTCGTTGTTGATATCTGCAAGGTAATTGGAATGCTCCAGGTAATTGTCAAAGTCCTTCGTGTCGCGGTAATATTGAGCCGGAACGAGTCTTGATTGGATAAAGTCGGACCAGACCGTGCTGCTCTTCAAGAGCGCGTTGGCACCTTGACAAATCCAGTCTGAGGCCGAGGCGCATGTCTGAAATTCAGCGATGCCGTTATGCGGAGACCCGAAAGTGATCAGAGATCGAATCTTCGGCGCCCAATCGGCGCATCTCTCGACGTAACCTCTCAGGAAGACGCCACCCTGGCTGAACCCGACGGCGTCGAGGGCCGGTGCCGTACGCAGAATGTTGTCGCTCGCCAGCATGTGGCACACGGCAAGAATTTGTTCCGTGACGTTACCAAAGAACGAAGCCTGGCGATCTGCAGAGCCCGGGTTACCGCCCAGCGAAATGATATATGTATATGTACCCGGATGGATATTGTCCAACATGGCTGCAATCTCTTTGATACCTTTGGCGTCGGCCGAATCCCCCAGGCCATGCCAGATCACCACGGGGAGAGGCTGGTCATCGTCAGAGCCGCCCTCAGTTGTCTTTGCGGGTGAGGCGAGTTTGGGCGACAGTCTTGTGATCTTGATCCAGTTGTCGTCGGCGATCGTCTCGATAGTATGAGGGAGGTGAGCGATCTTGGGAGTGAGTCTGAGCTCAGTTGCAGATTGTTCCTCCTCTTCATCAAACTTGGGTGCAGGCGACCCGCCAATCTTTGCCCATGACCATTCGGTGTATTCAGTCGCGGCGGCCTCGGACAGCCGGTTGGGAGAGTCTCTAGGTTGGTTCTGGAAGACTTCGGCTTCGGGGAAGATGACGACGGAGATGACGGCAGCGGGAAGCGACAAAAGGACCGACAACTGCGTGAGCCGCATATTTGCAGTCGTGCAACGCGTAGATAACAATCGGGAAATAATGCGAGAACCAACCAATTCAACTGAAGACCTGCTTCGCGATGGCAAGGAATGAGGAATGATGTTGCCTGCGATGTCACGAGTGCTGACTGATCCACTGAGCTATGAATCCTTAGTGACAGCGCATCCCTGCTCGCTTGGGCCTGGACACGTCAACCCCAGATCTTGGCAGGTACGATGCACCCACAGCAGGGTCATACGGGTGAGAGACTTTGCGCAAGAACTCGTTTGGACCGACGCCATACGAAGGTATGGCATCTTGGTACTCACTGCAATAATTGCTGTTCCGGTATTCATGCTTTGTCCCCATCTGCCTGGATTCAGTCGACATTCTTTTGAAGGCTTGATTGATTTGGGTGAGCACTCGCATGTTGTCGTCCGCGTCAGCCCACCGTGGTTCAGCGTTATACATGATAAATGGTCGAGTTCCTGCAAGTCCGGTCACATTTCCTCCATTGCGTCCTGCACCCTCAATGACCGCTGTCGTCATGTACTGAATTGCAAGCACGGGTTTAAACCCCTCCACCTCGCCGACGAGAGGTTGCATTTCCTCTTTCCAGATCTCACAACAAATTCGCAGAGTGTCAAGGTCGACTCGGGTGGCCATAACCCAAACCGTGTACTGCATCCAAATTCGGATAGTATGCCTGCAGCTGCATCACGCATTCTGCCTGATCTCGCGTGCGGCAGTCGTCAATGAGCGAAGGCATCGTATTGGGCGGCCTCAAAACAGGTAGGATCGACTATCGCATCACAGTACGTGAGCGAGGCTCCCCCAAACCCAGGTTTTGTCGCCTGTTGGGCGCATGCTGAGTATAAAAAAGGACTTGCCATCCACAGAGTCGCTGATCGAGCCAATGTAGATAAATGCCCTTGTGGCTTCAGCACCAAACTGGTACTCAAATGCCTTGTGCCCCGCCCACATACCGGTGTATGGATACGCTTCCATATGAAATGTGGTCACGATCCCGAAGTTTCCTGTGCCTCCCCGTAGATTTTTGTATAAGTCTGGAAGTGAATCTTTACTGGTTGTCACAATTGAGCCGTCTGCGAGAACCACTTCGTATGCTTCGATATGGTCGCAGCCCCAACCATAGAGATTTGAGTACCAGGAGATTTCTCCTGGAAAGGTCGTGTGAGCAGATCTGTATAAAATAAATATCAGAGGTGGTTATTTTACCACCTAAAAGGAAGCCTCCAACTCCTACACCGGCCGCTCTCCCGCCCACAACCGTGACGCCGAGGCCTTCCAGTGCAGAGTAGACCTCTCCACGCAACCTTGCGCCAGAGAGCCAGGCGGAAAGCCGACCACCATCACTTACGATCAGAATCCCCACATGCTAGACCTGCATAGGTATCGTTGCATGGTTACACCAGGCCGATGTGGGTCGGCGGCGCTTAGATTACAAAGGATATGCTTGAGTGTGGTATCACGTGCACCTCGATGAGCACGGTTGGCACGTCAACTTCAATCTAGACCTGTGCTCTCTACACCAACGCACTTTCTGACATAGTGGTACCAAGTCCTTAGGCGCTAGGTAGTTCTGCCCCTCCTACAGTACGTGCCGGCCGAACTTTACGACGGCAGAACCTTCTCCACCCCCAGAACACATATCCGACACCGTGGCCACGCGGAGCCGGATATGTTGACACCAAAGTACTACTCGGGCGAGGATTTCACATTCACCTGTTACTGGAGAAGAATTCACATTCCGTTAGAAGCCAACGATACGTCCGCAGAGGGGACATGGAAGATCTAAATGTACGTACTTCTATAGCATTAGGGCCGGCGGAGAGCCCTCTCGCAACGACATCGCAAGCTTTTGGGAAAGCCCCAAAATCCATGGCCTGGACACGAGCGTGGCGGTCATATCACCAAAAAGGCCAAGGCTGGTCCCACGAATTTTTTTTTTTTAAAAAAAAAGGGGTGGGGGAGGGGGGGAGACAGATGCTCTATTTTCCGCGCTCCGCAATGATAGCCGCCTGCTCTTCGACGCTCATCCGTGCAAAGGCCAGACTGTTGCGCATCTTGTCTACTCCGCGGTCCTCGTCCACGACCGCCTGCTCATAGGCCTTCCGGTAGATCTCGAACCCGTCGATAAAGCTCTTCTTGGTGTCGGTCCAGCCGGTCGTCTTTCTCAGCTTCTCGGAGCCCACCCACTGCGGGAAGTTGATGGTGATGTCGACGATGTCGACTTTCTTCTCGCCGCTGGGCTCTTTGTACTGGACCTTGATGTTGTAGCTCTTTTCAACCACGGCAGCAATGTCCCCGATGGTTTCGTACATCTTGTTCGAGACGTTGAACACTTGCCCGGCGACGGCCTCTCGGGGGCTCTGGGCCACAGCCACGTAAGCGGACGCGACGTCGTCTACGTGGGTTCCGTGCAGGACCGAGTTCGGGGTCGTCGCCAAGGTGAGCACGCGCTCCGGGGTTTCCGCCGCCTGTTCGGCCAGTGTGAAGAAGGGCGAGTACAGACTGCCACTGCGTCCGTAGAAAGTTGTAGGACGGAAAACCACGGCGTCAAATTCCTCCGCGTGGTCAAAGACCGACAGCGCAGCTTTCGTTCTCTCGGCCACGAGTTGTGGTGGATTGATCGGATCCTCTTCCGTGTGCGGCTTCAGGTTAGGGTCTCCGTGCCTTGAGCCCATACCGTAGTCTTTGCAGCCGCTCGTGAATAGTACTAGGGGTTTGTTGCCGCCGCGCTCCTTGGCTGTTGCCGCGACGGTCTTGAATAACGAGGTAACATGTTGGAAATGTCTCGCTGCGTCCCGATAGTCGTCCGTGGTATTCACAACCACATCGATCGTAGGCAAATGCTTAACGAAGCTTGGGTCGGCGGCCGACCCCAGGACTGGAATGACCTCATTTCTGTATAGATCTGGAAAACTAGATTCCTTGCGGGTGAGGCCGTAAGTGGTCCATCCCGCACGAGAAAATTGCGCCGCGGCGACCTGGCCGAGAAAGCCATTGGCCCCAGTGACCAAGACGGTTCGAGATGTCATCTTTCACGGACGGTTTGGCTGAGAACGGGCGGACAGTCGACGGGCTTGCTTGGGAGTGCGTTGAAGGGGGACAAAGAAGACGTTATGAGGAGCGGGATCTCTGTGCAATATATCGAAACGGGCCTAATCTCTATTTGCATTTTGACAGGTTTGTACCGAGGCACTTCAGAGCGTGGGTGGTGAAGCATTTCCCAGAATGGCGCTTTGGATTGGATTTCAAAGCCGCTGATCTGGCCCGAATGTGCGAGTCTCCCGTCACCCGCCGAAAGATGGGCCAAGCGTGTTGGTCAATCATCTCGAGAATTTGTCCGTCCTTCCCTTGCCTCGATCCCTGCGCAATACGGAAGGACATGCTGAGACAAGTGGCTCCGAGGCACTTTGATACTACCACGAGTGGGTGTCCATATCTGGACCTCTGTTGGGCCAAGCAAGGACAGCGAGATGTGACGGGCCAGGACGAGAACAATCAATCCTCCCACACAGCACCGAGTCTTGCCGAACGCCCGGGGACACCCTTGCACCGAACACACCCCTATCGCTGTGGGTCTCCTGGAGATCGCAATCATGCCAGCATTCAAATCCTTACCCTCTCGCGTGTCCGAAGAGGACGGAGCGTCTACAAAGTCTCAGTCTCCCCAACGAGGCCGCAACGTAGACGCGGGCGAAGGAGACCCATGTTGACGGAACCCACAGTGAGCGTAGGTTTGGCCGAAGCGAGACGAATGAGAGAGTGGGAGGCAGGAGGCAATTTGCTTCTCGTCCCTTCCTGGTGCTTACGATTCATCTACGGTTTCAGTGCCACACACGCACAGGCAATTTGAATGATGCTCATATGCAAGGATCAGGAAGTCCAGCTTTTGCCGCGCATTTATTGACCGAATGGCTGGAGAATTGGACCTGGCCGACGGTAGTAGGTACACTTTGATCGCCATGCTTTACACCCCTCAAAACCGATGGTCTTGCAGTCGATGTCGGCTGTTCTTCTGAACGGAACCGTAAAGTGAGCCGCTGTAAGCTCTGAAGTGCTTAGCCGGAAACTAGGCCATGGGCATTAACATTGCCACAGTATTCGGAAAAGATGATATCAAGATCGCAGTTCTTCAGTCTGCTAGAGCCGATAGTGTTGTCGAGTTCCGGCAACAAAGCTGGCCCGGGAGGATGAGCCAGTGGTCGTTGGTCCAACCGTTCGTCGGCTTCTCTGAACACAGAAGCCAAATCAGTGTCAAGCGGCGAATTGAAATCGACAAGCTCGGCAGTTTCGCCTTGCGGACTGTCGCCACAGGTGATGGGGACCGTGAGATTGAGTAGTAGATCCCGTTCGTTCTGAGTAATTGTAACCATGGAAAGCATACCGTGGAGTGATTCATTGCGGCGAAGAGGGTCAGGCGATGTGCGAGGATTCAAAGATTTGGTCTTCGGGTCACTCGTCACAGGCTCAGTAGTGACAGGCTTCGAATGCCTGTCAAACATGATTCTCTTTTGTTTCTTTGAAGTGGTTGTAGACAATCTCGGCTTTCGAATTTTGTTGTTCTTTTGACTCCGGACCGGGCCAGACCCGTTGAGACTTTTGGAGATGGAGGCGCACGACGGTGGCGATTTGTGCAGACTTTCGTCGCCTGCTTGGCTGGCTATAGGTATGCCATATATCGGGTCTCCAGATTGTAGCCGCCATCCGTGCAAGACCCGTTCTGCATCGAAACGGTCCATCGTTGTCCAAGTCATTCCGTGGGGAGGTTCTTCTTTCGCAGGCAACATTGCCGGGTAGACAGAGCCCATCCTGTCACTGGCTCAAAAGCTTCCACCCAACTGACAGCACAGGTGTAAAAAATGGCCCCAGAGCAAAGCAAGTCACTTTCGATGGATCCTGCGACTGGTAGACCGCGAGAAATGGGCTACTGTCCTCGATCTATTTGCGGTCACAGTGGAAATCCCGGCATTCAATTGTCGACAAGAGGTAGTTTGTAGGGAAGGATGGCCTTGCAATGACAGTTGGGATCGTCCCAAATCTTATGGTCCCGACGCGACTGTTGGACGTGGGCAGTGCGGAATTCCTGCCCTTTCCCATCTGCTAACCCAATTGGCATCCCGGGCCCCGATTATTTAGAGCGAAGTATCTCGTATTGGCAGTCTAGCGGTACAATATTAGAGGCTGTTTGCCACGGTTGGGCACTCTGTGCAGAATTGTTGCGTTTTGCTTGCGATCTTCTCGCGACGGCGCCTTGGACGACTCCGCAGAGCGTCTGCCTATCGATCCATCCGCAATCAGGGCGCATGCGGCGCCAAGGGGGGTGCGGAATTCATACCCCATGGTCTATTGTGTTGGGTGGGTGACCCCAGTGCCCCTTTGACCGGGGGGAGGGGGGGTGGGGCACGAGTCCTGGTCGCCGGTAACTTCGTATTTCGTGTGCTGAAATCGCCGAGGCAACTATACCAGATGCGGCCGGCGCCTTGCTCGTGTCGGCATACTGGCGCCCCCCTCGCCCGCCAATCAAGGCCGTTTCCTCGGCAGCACCGCCCAGGCGTACTGGACGATCTCTGAGTCTGAGTCAGGAGTCGGAGTCTGAGTCTATCTTCCACTGATTTGCTTTCTGGAGCGGGCGGTGGAGGCGAAGGGTGGGGATGGGAAACCCTTGCGTCGACCCCAGAAGAGCGGGTGACACTGGCGTCGCATCCCGCCACGAGGGCACGGTTCTTGATCTCGAGCATACAGAGTACGGAGTATCAAGGAGGCAGAGAAGGGGGGAGACGGTGTCAACCTGTCGTGCCTGGGTACTACGGGCGTCCTCGTCGACTCGTCTGGAATGCGGACACAATGCTCTCCGTACGTGACACCCGTGTCCAGCCAGATCCAGGCAGGATGCGTCGCGGCGACGTGCCCAGATTCAATATCTCGGTCTGGGTGGCAGTCTGCCAGTTTCGCGGCGCTCCCATCGCCACCATGGCATCTCGACTCGCTGTGCCTGTGGACTGTCTTTTCTGCACACTAGAGCATCGTTGTGCAGCTCCAACACGTGCTAGATCTGTCAGTTAGAACACCAGCCGACGTTCGCGGTGCGTGTGTTACCTCTTGTCATGATGCGGTCCAACCCATCCAGTGGCGTAGGACCCCAAAAATGCTTGAAACAGTCTTTGTATTCTGGGTTGATTAGATGTTGGTCCTGGCCAACTCCGGGCTTGTCCTGAGCATCACGCTCGGCCTCGCGATGTCCGTGTCTCTCATCCTGGTCAGCGTTCGGAATACGATTTGTATCTCCGTTTAGAACACCCTGTCCGTCGGTCCCCGACCCAGTTGGCTGATGAAAGCTTACGTGAATATACATGTACATGTCGGTCGTGATCCTCTTGGGCTTCCCTGGTCTTTAAACAGACTCCTGTGACACTCTTCGCGGCGCATCTGACTATGCGGCATGCCCTTTCTGATTGCCCTTTCAAGCGCGACCCGTCTCTCTCGAAGAGGCGTGAAATGCCCCCTGATACAATCACTAAAATGGCACTAAGAAGCACGACCGAATTCAGCCTGGCCGAAATCTGGGGGTCACGTCCAGCATGAATGAGGATACGGAACCACAAAGACGTCGAAGGGTCCCTCATGCAGGTTTGCTGCAAAGTCTTGATGCGCCAGCTTGCTGTAGATGTCGCAGTAGAACCGCGAGAAGTTCCGAGTGCTCGACGAATGCCTCCGCCATACCTACATGGCCGTATCTACCTACATGGTTGTACATGCGTGGTTGAGACGATGTGCCGACCATCTGCCCGGGTTACATTTCCTTGAGTCAAGAGCGAAAAACTGCTAGTGGCGAGGTCTCCCTGGACGTGCCCTGCTACCCACCAGGATGTTCGCCGCCCAATCATGCCCTAATTTTACCTGGAAGCAAGGGTCCGGCTCGGCGAATTCTAGCGTCACCCCGCTCTTCCATCCCCGTGTCTCCAGCGATTAAAGGCTGGGGTTCAGGTCACACGGTCTTGTACCTCGACTTTTGTCCTGGCACCATCGATGCTCGACACCGCGTCCACCGCGTCCACCGCAGCCACTCCTCCTACACTGCGCAAAACCCCACCAGCCGCGATGGCCGGCACGGTTCCGAGCTCGCCGCGATTGAATTCGAGGAAGAAGAGGTCACATATGGCTTGCGAACAGTGCCACCATCGAAAGGTCCGGTGTAGTATTGGCCAAACGGGCCAGCCGTGTACCAACTGCGGTCTGGATGGCGTCGCGTGCAGGCCGTACACTCGTGCGCGGACCCGGTGAGTCGCCTCCGGTCGTCGAGGGCCCTTCTGTGTGACGATAGCAATTTCTGACTGCATAATCGACACAGCGTTTCGGCGCACCGCACGCACAATCACTCATCTCACACGACGAACCCCGCCCCCCCGGAACGTGTACCGATCGTGGCCCAAACACCTGCGACTTTGGACGCAGTGGCTACTGTCGCCACCGAAAATCCGGCGAGGGTGGTTAACAGCACCACCGCGGAGCAATTTAGCCGTAGCAGGCTCGAGGAGTCAAATAACACGGCAGACTGGGAGTTGGAAACAGCCTTGCAACGAACAGACCCAGGGAGCGCTTTCAATGCGACACTAGATGAGACCGTGCATAACGACAATGTGCCGTTCTACGTGGGTGCGTCACGATCCCATCTTTCTCATTCTTCAATCGACAGTCATGCCTGTTGACCCTCACCCGCTAATGGTCGAGCGAAACAGGAGAAGAGCAAGGACTCTGCTTTGTCCTTGATATCTGTCGGCCTAATCGACCGAAGGGACCCCAATTTTCCGTTGCGCCGGCGCAAGCAAAAGAGATTTCCCCCGCAGACCTTACTTATCTCCAGGAAAGAGAGGTTTTCTCTCTACCGTCCGAAGTGCTCTGCGAGGAGCTGATACGGTGTTATTTTCATCATGTGCATCTCTTCCTACCGATAATCGACGCCAAAAGCTTCCTGTATAATTACTCGCAGAATGGTCCGTCCAAAATGAGTCCCCTACTTCTATGGAGTATGTTTTTCGTGGGAGCAACCGTATGTTACCGATGCAGTGATGAAAGTTCATTGTTAACAGACACAGTTCCTATCGGACGAAACGGTCAAAGCCACGGGCTTCGCCACGAAGGGCGCAATGAGGCGGGCAATGTACCAAAAGGCGAAGGTCTGTTTCAACACACCGTCATCTCTCACAAATTCTGCTCACTGGTACTGACCGAATGCCTTAGCACCTCTATGACATGGACTATGAGCAAAATAAGATCACCTTAATACAATCTGTCATACTCATGTCATATTGGTACGCAGACACCGAGGACCGCACAGGCCCGTGCCACTGGATTGGCGTTGCGATCGCTCTTTGTCACACAATTGGCCTTCATCGTGAACCAGGAGCATTCTTCCCCGGTGGCCAAACCCGCCTGTGGCGTCGAATCTGGTGGAGCTGCTTCTATCGAGAAACATGGCAGTGCATTGCGTACGGAAGACCGATGAGAATTCGTCTCGAAGATTGTGATGTGCCCATGCCTGTGACAGAAGACCTGTGGCTAGGGGTGACCGATTTGCCTCTAAGCGTCCAGAACTCCTATCTTCCAGACGACCGCGTCCCTCTCTCGCAACTGTACCTGTCGCTATTAAAGCATTCTGTCAGTCTGGCCGAGGTGTTACGCGTCCATTACCGACCGAAGAAGGCCATGCCGACGACAGCTCAGTTAGAATCTGACTACCAAGAGATCCTCCGGCATCTCGACACCTGCCACGAGTACGAGCGTCACCCTAGCGAGCTTGTCAGAAGCTGTGCTGCCCACGTCCGTGTTCAAAACGAGTAAGATGTCAAACCCCCGCATCGCGCATCGCGCATCGCACATCGCATATCGCGTCACAGCACTTATATCTCTAGGGCCTCTATCATCGTGTTGTTCCGCGAGTACCTTCTTAAACAGCCAAGTGGTCTTGTGTTTTCCGAGGTAGCGACGTGGCGCTGTATGGCGCTTGCCAGAGTCAGGAGGGCGGCGGATAACATAAGCGCTGTTCTAAATGGAATGGTTAGCGGCAACTTGGTCAGATTTTGCGACCCTTGCATGTGAGTGCATGACGCCCCAGACGGACAGGCTGTGAAAAATGCTTATCAGATCCCTTTAGTGTCACGTCTTTAAAGGTGGCCATGCAGATTTATTTACTCTTCCTTCTATCAACCAACCACCTGTCACGAAGACATGCCTCAATTCAACTGGAGCTCCATATGTTAGTTCTCGAGGAACTTCACGACAATTGCTGGACAGCCGGGCTTGTCCTCGGCTTCTTTCGGAAAGCGAGGGACATCCTTGTTAGCCGCAGAGATTATACCCTCAATGAAGACGGTACCCAAGTACCAGGGTCTCAATCTTCCGCCTGGACCACAAGAACGGAAGACGAAAGGCCAACGACATCTTGGAGGCCTGAAAATTGGCCTTCAGCAGATGACTTCAGGTCTGCTACTCAGGTGACTCCTGACGGGCTCTCAATGTTGCCGGATGCAAGGTCAGCCACCCTTCCTCAGTCCTTTCAATAATAACAAGTCCGCTGCAGCTAACTTTGCATGTTGTTTTTGAAGTTGGGAATACAGCATCGAATCTATATTTAACTGGGAGGTTCTACCATGATGGAGAACCCCAACGCCGGCAATACTGCTGGTTTACGAGGCAATGAATATGATAAAAAAAATGGAAGATATCTTCGACGAATATGGGTCGCAGTCATAATGAAATCAATCCATTCTACGCTTGAGATTGTGCGCTGACTGTCCTTACTTTCGGAAGAACATGTAACGAACTGCATCTGTGTGACTTGGATACAGGCTTAGAGATACAGCTAAAGGGGCCCACAAATTTTCATACTGTACATACATATACATACACCAGATGGCAAGGCTCGTGGAGACAGAGGGTTCTGCAGCACTTTCAACGGGAAGCCGAGGGAGTTGAAGGCCAGGTTTACCGCGCTGCCTCGCACCACGAAGCATTTGCTCTCGTACAATTCTCCTCGTCTGGGCGGGAGAGCTGACACCAGGAAATGCCACGGTACAAATAGTCATCCCTGAGTATTCGGCTCGCTCTGCCCAATCATCGCCACCGCACGGCTCGCCCAAGCTCCGAGACCTAGGACCCCACTCCAAGTCAAACGCCTCGGGAGTTTTTGCTGCCTTGTCCGTCCTGAACCTCGAGTTCTAAAAAGAAAAGTTTAAGAGCTCCAAGAAGTCCAGCCGTGCCAAAGATGCTAATGCTTCTGCCTGGGCCCCCCCACCCCCCTTTCGAGACGCGTGTGGAGCATGGAGACGAATAACGGCACTGATCTGGCAAGAGGCCGAGGCATGATGATCCAACAGTGAACCACGATGTGAGGGAGGGCTGATCGGATGGACATACATAGGCTCCCCCAGGGCCAGTGGTACGTCCGCATCTAGAGATAGTCCTCCGGCAAGCTAAGCCCCCTCAACCTAAGGAACGTGAGCGCCGACGCCCGAGGTCAAAGCAACAGCAGTATTTTCCACAGCGTCCACATGGTATAAGAGAGGCGCAATGGTTCTTTGGCAATTTGCCGTCCTTAGAGAGAGCAAGTAACCCTTCCTAGGCCTGGCACTTTCCCCCCTGAAGTGCTGCTAGATTTAGTATCGGACCTGATCGTCCAGCCCTGCTACCAAAAAATGTCCACAGAAACCGGGACGCTCGAGACCCTGGAACGGCGACTACGCATACTCGAAGACAAAGACGCTCTGTGGACGCTCCTCTGCCGATACTGTCGGGTCGTGGACGACCATGACTGGAAGGGGTTCGGAGACATGTTCACCGAGGACGGAATCCTGAACTTCGTCGACTGGGGCCCGATCCAGGGCCGGGAGAAGATCGCGAAAGCAACCTCGGTCGAAGAGGTGTTCCAGTACCAAGAACACAGTCTCAGCAACATCATGTTCGTGGTGGATGGATCCGACACCGCCACGGCGACGGGTTTCCTGACCTTCATTGCCACCCCGGACGCATCGAAGCGCGAGGAGTTTGCGGCCAGCGGAGGACGCTACGAGTTCACCTTTAAGAGAACCCACGAGGGCTGGAAAGTGTACCGCCACCTCCTGACAAAGGGCTGGTTGCACGGTAAAAGCGTAATGGAAAGCGTAAAATACGCAAAGCATCCAGACGTGTAAAGGGGTTCGCTACCAGGGGGGGAGAAGAGCAGAGGTGCATCTGTCCCCAAGTCGATCTAGAGACAGTATCAACAACAAGAAGATATACATAGATGTGCACTTTGGGACTCTTTTCCTGCAGCCTCAGAACCAAATCTTGGAGGAAAGCCAGACAAATGAATGTATCTATCTCCTTCTCGACTGCTGCATTCGAGTCTTGCGTGCTGTTTTCCAGTACAGCACACCAGGCTGGGGTGAGCCCACCGCGGTTGCTCAACGTTGGTCTACTTGACTAGTAGGATTTTGGCACGACGAATGCACTAGAGTGGTTCACTCCACACAATGGTGCACAGTCACGCTCAGCCGTCCACATGACCGCCGATTCCGCTTTCCTGGGGATATAACAGGGGATGGCGAGATTAGTCTTTGATCAAAAGCCGAACGTTTTAATTACAAACCACAGACAGAGGCGGTACCGGGGCCGCAGGTTGAAGGATTCGTACCCCAGGGTAGGCGAGCCCACTTTTTGCCCAATTCCAGCGTATCAAGTCAACTGCCGCGGCTGACGTGGATTTAGTGTTTCTACAAGAGTCCTCTCCCCCCACAAGTTCTCCTCGTGCCAAGTCCGAAAGTATGTAGGCTTTGTGGGGAGAGGGTGCCTCGGCGTTTTTCATATTGACAGGGGTGCCTCTATAGAGAGAGCTTAGCTTTGAGGAACGCCGCGGCAAACTAACGAGCAGGGCAAGACGGGTTAATTAAACCACGGCAACAAAGAACCACGGTCCATATGTGTGTATGACTGGAAAGAAACAGCCTTTTAATTATGGACTCTGCATCTTGTCTTGAAATCGGCTTCTGGATCCCAGATTGTTCTATATCATCCCCGCCCCGTCCCCTGCTTTGCAAAAGGACTTCCTCCATATGTACCAACAGACCCCCAACAGAAGCCCGAACGAAAGCATTTCCACCATGGCGGCCAAGGACGAAACCAAACCTGATGTCGAACTCCAGGAGGAGTCACACCTCCGCGTGTCTTCGGATGGCAAGGTCTCTCTGAGCAAAGTCGCCGTTCAGGTGGCTCCGGCCATCGCTCAGTTCTCCGAGCAAGAGCAACGAAAGATTGTGCGACGCATCGACATTCGCATCATTCCGATCTTGAGCGCGGTCTACACTGTCGCCCTCATCGACAGAGCGAATTGTGAGTGTTCCTATCTCGCAGTATTCGAGTTGGTATCCGAATTCTAACGAGAAAATGCGCTGCAACAGTGGGTATCGCCAGTATCGCTGGGTATGTGCCTTTTTCAAACGGTTGTTCCTACCCTGTTTGCGGGACAAGGCTGACAACTTGTCACTGCAGAATGGGTGAAGACCTCGAACTCAGTGTCGGCATGCGATACTCGATCGCCACACTCGCTATGTTTGTGACATACATTATTTTTGAGTTGCCCTCGACGGTCCTGCTCCGTGTGATGGGCCCTCGCATTGTCCTGTCCTTCGTTACAATGAGCTGGTGTGTCACATTGATCGGTTTCGGGTTTGTCAAGAACTGGCACGCACTGACCGGCATGAGAGCTCTCCTGATTGTGGCGTTGCTCTCCCTCAAGCTCTGGAGAGCCAACAAGGGTCAGGCAATGGGCACAGTCATTATCGAGGGACAAGAGGGTTTCAGGTATACCCTATAGGGCAAAGCAAAGCCCTCGTTGGATTGATTGTACACGAAATGTGGATAAGTATGAGAACAGTCAATATCGGATATGTAGCGGTGAGGATGAGTTTCTTCTGGACTCCCCCCGAGTCTACAAAAGCACAGCAATCACTCCTTGAGAGAATGTCATCTGCTGATCAGGTTGTGAGAGAGCCTCTCGCATTACAAACCTCTGTACGTACATCCAAGCTTTCGGTATCCCCATCTGCTATATATATAGCTGAACTCGGCCCCGGAGATTCGTGACCCTAAAGGCAATCTCCACAAAGACATCTCTTCTAGACATCTCTCTGTCACCCGTCGAACGCTTCGAAGCTTAGCCTATAAAAGCCCGTCGGACCGTGGGTGCCGCCCACCAATGAATCTGATGAGCTACTCTAGGCGGGTCTGGGGTAGAAAGACCAGAGAGGCACTCGCCAGTGCTAGATCTGTCTCCGAGGCGCGCCCGAGTTCTCGGCCATTTACAATAAACCTCTCGTCTCCGCCTTTGGGGAAAGCCTTTCTCACTCATGCATGCATCAGTATTAAACGAAAAGGTCGGGGGGGGGGGCTATATCTACATGTATACACGTTTTGACCCCAGCGCGCCCCCGGCCATTATCTGTTCCGTTTTCGTCCATGTCGCTCCTCGAAGCAATTCCCAACAACAGCGTTAGCAGGCGCCAACGGTAGTGCGGGACTTCTGGTTGGCGCTTTGAAACTTTCTGCGAATTCTCTGGGCTTACATAGGCTCGGCCGGCACGATCAATAGCCAGATAGCTCCGTGTGGCGAGCTTCTGAGCTTCCATACTGCTTTGTGGTCCGCAGTTGCAATTTGCTTCGACGCCATTTTGTTTTTCAGCCGGTTGCTGAACAAAGGCCCTGAAGGGAGTGTACCCCCCGACTCACACGGTTTCACAACCAGAAGCCAACGAGGATGAACCAACAAGAATGTATCCACGACCAGAGCGCGCTAGATTCTCCCGTCGATCTCCGGCCTCGTCGCCAAGTTGTGATATCTCCCACCAGGTTTGGCGATGCTAGACCACACCAGGCGTCTTTTACCATGCGCTATCTAAAGTCACGTCCTAATAACTCCAAAGAGCCGGAAACATCTGCCCTAGCCACGGTTCGCATGCTGGTAGCTAGTCAATATTGGCGCGATCACGCCTCAAACCAACGTTCGCGACTATTTGAGACAAAGCCTCGCAAGTTTCAACGGAAAAACCGGGGACTTGTCACTTCTACCCGCCCACTGCCTGGACCCATGCCAAAGAAGGTGTGAGCAATGATGGACGAGATCGCCGCTTGTAGTCTCGCCGAGGGGGACGAGACCTATTCCGCGGATGAACAAGTCCCGTTCGATATCCTCCCGTAACATGCCAACAACCCCAAAATGATCTCTTAAGTTGAAATGATTGATTTCCTTCCTCCGTCGAGGACATGGTCGTCAAAATTCAGTTAAGCCGTAGTTCCCCCCCCACATTTCTCTCGTGGAGGTCAAAGACACCCCGGCTGCGTTTGAAGACTCACCAGGCTTGCGAGGTTCATGACGACAGATGCAGTGGTAAAGGGGGTATGGCGCACCGGGGGGGGGGGGGGGGGGACGACCTAGAGGGCTGAGGGTCTGGACCAGTAACTGTTGCGAGTCAGATGTCGCCACGGGGGTCGAGGGAATGAAAAGCGACCAAAATTCCGAGATGGATGTCATGTGCAAAGAGTAACTACTGCAAGGAGCCGGGCGTCAGGTGGCATGCGGTAGCTCACCGCGAGCATCGTTCACGGAGTTCTTCATGCAAATCAAGACATCGTGTAGTTTGACAACTCTCCGCGAGGAAGAGAGACAGTACAGCCTTGAGTATGCGTTCGAGACTGTGTGGTTGTAGGCTTATAAATTCACCAGACTGCTCAGGCGTACCAGGTGGGAATAAGGCGTATTTAAGCACCTCCTGGGACGCTAATGAACCGACTCGTCGAGCAGGACAGATACGTGGCTCATAAAGGTCCTGCGGCGAACACGTACCTCTTGAGGACCGAATAAGCAGACACTCTTCCGTGGGAGGACAGTATTGTGGAGGATTTGTGGCATTCGAGCTAGGGCATAAAAACCCGTCAAGACAGATATCGGTGTTGTTCGGAATGCAAGTATTTTGCTCAAAGGCGGCCTGGCTGCGCATCTGGTGGAGGGAGCCTGAGGGTATCAGTTCGAGTCGGATGCAACGCGATGGGTGGGTGGGATGCTTGACGAGTTCTCGGGCCTTACAGTTGAACTGATACATTGGTATAGGCATTGCTCCGGGGCGCTCACAGCCGGTTGTGGTGGTGGGAACCAAGAGAGTCGCATTGTTCCAGGCGATACTGGACATATTAAATTGGTTCAAGTTGTTTACAATGCCTTGGACGGCCGCATCAGCGCGTTCTACATCCTCCATCTTTGCTCACAGGTGCGATGCGATGTTTTGACAGATGGATGTGGTGAATCGACGCCTTGACGAAGTCTCCAGAGGAGAGGAGGACACAACGCAATTCCACCACCTGATTCCACCAAGGGATTGCATGGGGGAACGTTGCCGAAGATCTTGAGGTGCCCATCGCTGTGGCTCCTTTCTAGACCAGGAGGAGTGTGAGTTCTGTGCTTGTGGTTAGAGGATAAGGGCACTTTAGCAATGTCTGGGCTGAGCAATGGAACCCAATAGTTCAGATAATTGACGGCCACCTTTCGCGTGCACAGTCCATGGCCAGATCCAGGCAGGGCAGGGCTCGTGTTATGGCCACCTACCACACATCATCACATATCATCACATTTGATCACAATTCACCTTTCTTGTGCCTCTTTGGGCAAAAAAATAATTGTTGCTTTTCGAGCTGGACCAAGAGACTGCAACATCAAGACAAGTATAATGACGACAACGGCTTCGTGTCATTCAAGGCACACACGACGGCACCAGGATGCAGCGTCTCGGAGGAATGGTCAAGAGGCTCAGCTCTGGTTCAGCTGGGTGTCGGGCCAAAATGCATGCCGTCGAGACCTGTAAACTAACTGGGCAGGGACAAGCGGAGCACAGATGCAAAGATCGAAATACAGACGGGGAGAGTGGCGAAAAAATGGACAGAAAGTTCGGATATGAGAGAAGGACCATGGGAACGAGGGAGTAGAAGAGAAAGGGGACGAAGGCTGTTGGGATGACAAAAATAAAGGGGGGAAACGGACTGAAACGGGAGTGGCGGATGCTGGCGACCGTCTATTACATACGGTACCGTACGTGCGTACCTAATCTACCTCTAGGTACCACCTCGCTCACCGTAGGCACTACTGCTAAGTAGGTTCACGATACCTCTAAGGTAAGTAATGCCTGGGTATTGAGCGAAGCCGAGACGACGGAAAAGGAAGCTCGATGGAAGCCTGACGCTCAATCAGCAAGAATCAGGTACAAGACCTGCCTAAGCGAACCTGGACACCTATCCACAGGACTCCGTACCAATCCAACAGTATGTATGTACATACATACATAAGGTTGTCCAAGCTTTAATGCCCAGGACCAGGGGGCCAGGGGCCAACCGTGGTGGGATCTAGGCGTGGTGCTGGTGGTGGGGATAGGGGATGCGTTCCATTACCTAACGCCTCCCCCCACACACCACCCACCCACCAACTCCGCCTGCGCTGCGCTTCTCGCGGCTGCCGCTTATCCCCATACATAGGAGATTGACCCCCCAGCACCTCCCCGCCAGTGCTTGATGCTGCTCAACACCTTTCTCACTCTGTCAGACACTCACCACCTGCCTGCAACTCTGTCTCATGCGGTGCGGGCTGGCGAAGCTCCTAAAGCTCTCCTCCAATCCCCCTGCGCCCTCGTCCCAGCATTGAGGCCTTGAACGTTCACAACGCTTACTTTGCTCAGCCTTGACTCTACGAATGTGCGAACTGGAAATCCTTCTGTGACAATGTATCATCGTTCAAGGTGCTGTCCATTCCGTATACTGTCTGGGAAGAAAGAAAATATATTCTCCCTATACCCTCGACGCCAGCCAGCCCGTGGGTATCATAAGAAGCCAGCTATCCTCCCATTTTCCCTGGCCCTATGAAGAGCTATACCCCATTTTACCAGTCCAGACTCCATATGAAAATCAGTGTTTGCCTCATCCTAGTAACCCCAGTCCATCTTCCTCCGACACAAGGACTCGCACCTTCTTCAAATCCTGGGTCCATTTCCTCGTGACATGCAGCCACATCTGCTTCTCGTCCGACCGCTTTTCTTCAACGAACTTCTCCAGGCTGGGCTTGGTCTGCCACTCTTCCCACCGTCGCCCATCTCTTACCAGCATCTCGCACGTGAGGTGAGGATATTGAGCTCGTGCCGACGCAATTGCTTCTCTGTCTGCATTCGCGCGGGATTCTTCCAGTTGACAAGGTGGACAAGGGTGGTCCTGGTGAGGCAGGAATGTTGGCAAGCCCATGTAATGGGGTGTCGGATAATGCGAGGATGAAGTGCACGAGAATCGGAATCCCTTGGAAGAGAATGATTGTGAGCGACTAAACCTGCGTCCCAACTCGCCGCATTCTGAAGGTTGGCGGGCCACTCCTGGTAAAGGGGCCGCAATCTTCGAGGGTACTCGAGATATTGGAGACGATGGCGGCGTGATAGAGGAGCCCGAGGAATTAGAATCTAAACTTCCAGTCGATGAAGAAGAGCATCCTCGTGGCGACAGAGGTCGAATGGTCGAGCTTGACAGTCTATTCTGACAGTTATAGCATTTGTAGGGCTGTTGTGGGAGCTTCACTCCCGTCGTCTTGAGAAGCGGGCACGGTGCCAATTTGCATATATCGAAGCCCATCAGAATGCCATGTCCGCAACAGAACCGCAACACATGAGCCTTGCACATCTTGAGAGTTGTCTTGCCTCCAGGATGTTGAGGTAAGATTGAAGGATTTTGGCTGAATTATGCGAGGAGTGGAGAGTTTCAGAGAGGCAAAACGCGCAGCTGAAACGGCGAATGCTTTGAAGGTACAGGGTCTATTGTGGCATTTTCAACAGGTGGCGTGCGGGTATTGAGGCATCAGACAAGCAGGTTCTGCCGTCTCTCGAGGGATGTGTTGGTCGCCTGGGGGTGTCGAGTGCCCTGAGCGCTGGGGAAGGGAAGCGTCGTGCCCTGTAACAGCGCAAGCAGGCGTCCGTCCAGTGCCCGGAGGGCGAATCGCAGGGCTGTTGCTTGCAAGCTTTGGGCAGCAGCGTATGCAGAACGGCTTGTACGACCCGAAGTAAGCGAGGTGTCAGGGCGTCATAAGACCCAGCAACTGCAGAGCCAGAGCGTCGAGGGCCGTTGAGGCGGCCTTATAGAGGAAGGGAGCTCAGGGTCCGTGTCAAAGGTGGACGAGGCACTCAAGTCGCAAAGATACCTGAGGATGTTTGACCCTTGACCGAAGGATTGAGCGATCCCACAGTAAGTGGCTGTGGTGAGCAATTAATACTATCGACGGAAACTGCCATGAACGACCGGCACAGAGGGGGCGCCCTGTTGGATTCGGGGTTTGCCAACGAGGGGACTCTCTGGGATTTAGAGGCAGGCAACGGATTAACGAGGAAGTATGCAATAGGGCAAAGGAAAGGAAAAGAATGGAAAGGAGAGAATCAGGCTAACCGGGCGGGTAGAGTCGAATTGACTAGGGGGAAGAAGGAAAGACTGAAAGATGCAAAGAGAGAAGCAACCAGCGCAAGGACAATAACGCACAAAACGGAAGACGGGGTTTGTGAAGAGGAACGAACCCTCTCACCATCGGCTGGGATAGGGTCGATTGACGAAGGAGAATCACAATTAGTTTTTTTCGTTGGACGGATGGAGCAGGGGTGGAGATGACACCAATAACCCTTGTGGCCTCAGGGCGAGGGCAGTTTTTAGGGTTGCGAGGTTGCAGCAGAAGCGCGCAGTGTAATGCAGTGCAGTATGCAGTGCAGTGGGCAAAAAGGTGGGATGACTTGGATGGGCTGTGGGAGCCATGAGGAAGCCACTTGTCGATCGCCCTTTGCCCCTCGCGGGGGGTGGGATGTCGTCCCTCATTGGGGGCTGCTTTGTTGAGCTTCAACTAGCTAGGTAGCTTACTCGGTAGAGCCGCCCAATTCTTTTTCTCCCGCTTGGCCACAACGGGTGCGCAGCGGCCACAGCTTGGAGGCTTGGAGCTGGGTTGGACCTCACCCTCGCCTCTCTGCCCACTGTGCCACTCTCACTAACCCTCATGCTCATGCTCTCTCTTTCCTATGACGGAACTGACTTCGACCGCACCAGCGCCCTGTAATTATTCTCACGGGTTTCTTTTGGGAGGGACCCCATTCCTATGTCATTGTCAGGCACGATCCCTCCCTGCGATATTCCTTTCCAGGCCCGCAATGGTGATGCCCCGGCACACCCTTCCCACGGCAATCCTGGACGATGACGACGACACGGAAGAGAAACCAAGGGAAGAGTTGCGCTATTACACACAATTGCGAGATGGAATCGTGGGAGAATACGGCTGGCCTCGCCTCGGAGAATACGACAACACGAACCACTGGGGTTTTTTGGCTTCGAAGGGTCTCGAAAACTCGGCCACTAAACTTCCCGCCACGATAACATGGGTCCAGACTCGTCGCTGTTCGGGACTATACAATGTATGGGTGTGCTCCGAGATGATTCAAACTCGCCCACAAAACTGCCCGGTCCCGTTGCTTTCTTGTACGCGAACGGCTCCTCTTGGGTTTCCTCGGGCGTCCTTGGCCGGATTGCCGGGCACATTCCCCAGGTAGAGGCCATGACTCGCCCAGGTCCCGCCAGGCAATCATCTCCAGCAAATTACTGTTGCAATCAATAATGTGTTCCATGCACGACGCACGTCAACCTCGACCCCAGAAATGCCACGCCTCCCTCCTCCACAATGACCACTCTCCAAACTCTTACCTATTTGCAATCTAAACTCCCTCTCCAAAAACCAAGAACCGAGTTGTGCCGTACTCAACCTAGGAATTGGACGCAGACACGGGGGGGTGTATCAGCTTGAGCTGGACTTGAGCGTCCTCCCTAGACACTGGAGTTTTGCTGCCATCTACGACGGCGCGCAATTCCCGTCCAGGTCCACATGCTCCGTTATCGGGTGGATACCCGAGACAGTGAGACGTGCCGCCAATCTGGTTCTTGACAGGCCCACAGAGGTCCAAATGACGGCATTAGCACGATAGCATCACCAGCATAAGATGGATTCGTACCTTGTAATCCTTTTGCAAGACCTTCTCGAGGACTGCCACGAGGATCCACTGTAAACGCCTGTTCGGTCCTGCACCCTCCAACACGTTTTCGCTTCCTGGACAGACCCTTCATCGGTACCGCACTGAATGTATGTCAAGAAGAGCTGGATCATTCCAGACGGGGATGTTTCTCCTTGAATGCGCGACCCAGTGAAACTTTTTCGACAACTAGGAATGAAGTTTGATTTGGTCTAGCAATACCCGAGTTTGAGCGATCCCTGTCAGCGGTATTCTGCGTCTCGTCAATCAGCCACCAGGTGGACGAGGGGCCCAGGCCCGCTTTGATAATCATGAATGTGATTCGCGCGCTCTTGCTTCACGCTGGACAACCTCGCACTGCTTCACACTTGCATTTACCCAGAATCACCTGACTCGCTGGTGGCGGTGTCGTAGTACATGACAATTTTCTTGATTTTGAAAACATTTTCACGATTCGGAGGTCCCACTGCCCAACCTGTTGCAATCATCGTCAGAGAAGATTGTTATAACACCCTGATAGACTCTGGACACACCTTTATCACCATTGGTCCAGTTGTTCCAGACCAACTGGCCTGGCACGTTTGGAATATTGTTGGTGAAGTTTTTCTGGCAAACACCGTCTATGTAAAATGCTGTGAAGTCCGGGGTCCAGTCAATTCGATACTCATGGGTGCGAGTAGTGCAGCTAGATGGAGCTGGTCCGCTTTCACATGACTTGTCCATCTTTGTGGGATCTATGGCTTGGTTGGTATACCAAAGAGGAATTGGAGCGTTAGGACCATTGTTTGACAACGATGTCGGATCGGTCACGTATTCGATATCACATTCCTGAGTATCGTCCTTGTAGAAGAAGACCCCTGCCATTGTCAGAATACACAAACTCTGGTGAGATAGCTCGTACGGAAACAGACCATGGCAGGTGCCGGGCTCGGTGCTGAAGACAGCAGTGGTTCGAAAGCTCCCGTACAGAATTTTCTCCTCCACCGTTGTCACCTCTGCGCAGCTGACCGCGTAGCCTGTCTGCTTTGATGGTTTCTGGGCTCCCGGAACTGCCAGGCGGAGGAATCCTTTGAAGCACCGAACGTTGGCTGGGTCAAATCGCTTGTTGAAAGGAATGCCGGTCCAGTTCTTGCAGCGAACGGTGTAATTACTCTTCATGAGACCCTCTGGTAGCGACTGTTCTTCAAATGTGTACACAGCTCGCTTGGAAAATCTGCCAACCCCGGGCACCAGCCATCCATCACCGTCCGCTTTGACTTCATCGTGTCCGCGGGGATTTTTGATGCTTGAGGGTTGTGCCTCTGAGGTTGTAGTGGCATTATTTTCTGACATAGAGAGAGATCAGTCAGAAGGGTCCTGGTGTGGTCGGATATCCCCCCCATGTATCCACGAAAAGGCGGTGATCGGAAGAGAAGGGATAGAGAGATCAGGTGCCAAAAGCTGCATAATTGAAGTGTGCAGTGTCTTTAGAGATGGACCGATATCAAAGATGGCACAAATGAAAAGCCGCTCACTGCGGCAGACTTTGTGACACCAAGATGCGTCACTTCGCGAAGTTTGCTTACCTGCCGTTAGCAGCGAAGGTCCCTGGGCCTTCTTCGTCCCACGCCTTCCACAGTAGGCAGCCACCACATTCACCCAGTTTCTCTTCGTTGGCGCTTCTAAAGACATGATGGCTCAAATATAGTTTAGGGACGGTAGGTAGAGATAGAAAAAATCTGCGGTACCATCAGCCGGTGTCAGAGCAGCTAAGCGCCCTGGATGTGCAGTTGGCGAACGGGGGATTGATTACCTTGAGAGAATGGAAAGCAGTGCTTTGGATATGATTTTGAGGATTCAGATGCTGTTTGGTGTGGCTGCAAGATGCCTCTGTAGGATGAACATGTTTGGCGTCGAGAATGACGGAGGCGCCTTACAAACCGACTGCGCCGACCGTTCAGCCACGCCTGAAAGACTGCACTTTCCACTCAAGTTCCTGGAGATCGAGAAGGAGCGAGACGATAGGACAGACTTCAGTGGCTCATTTCAGAGATTCCATTTGACCTCGTAGCCGAAGACGGTTTTGCGAAGGGCTTCATCTCCAGGATCGTTTTCAAACATGACTTTATCCATGGTTTGTTCCAGTATCTTATTGACCACAAATCCGTCGACTCGAGCCATTTCGAAGAATTGGAGATCTTTGTCGAGCAGCCAAGGACGATAAGGCGTGAAAAACACCAGAGCGACCGACTCGCGCGTCTTCTTCAAGCAGTCACGGACAGTGGCCAGGAGTTTGGCGTGCTCGGAGTGGTTGAACAGAATGTCGGCCAGGATCAATAGATCAAATCCATCAACATCGGGCAGGATATGCGATTTCAAAGAGTCGACCGGAGCACCCCAAAGGAAACCCTCCGTTACAACGGTTGACTTGTCGAGTAAAGCCGAGCAGTGTTCCACGTTGTAGCGCAAGTTCGCAACCAAGTCCTGGTCCGGATAATCTGTCACCACGACTCTCCTAGCTCCTAATATTGCAGCGACTAGGCTAGGAAGCCCAGCACCAGCGCCCAATTCCAGCACTGTCTTGTTCAGCACGAGCTCTTTGGCGTTCTGTTCGAGGTACGTTGACACGACTTGACCTGCGTTCCAGAGTAGATGACCCTTCATGACCATTAGCAAAACAAAAAGCTTTCCACAAATATTTACACGAATCACACCCAAAGAGGACTATGGCCGACAAGGCGTAGCGTAAGGCGGTGGCCGTTTTTCAGGGTGTAGCTGGTGAAGGTGGGTGGCTTTTCGGGCTCGTAGAAATCGACAGGCTCTTGAAACATGTCAAGGGAGGGAGAGGAGTCCCCATCTTCGCCGTGCTCCATGGACTTTTGTGATTAAAGTGACAGAAATGCTGGATAGGTCAATGAACGCCGTCGAATACGGACCATATTCTGTCATCGTGAACGGTTTTTCTACATGGAGCGCTTTGCGCAAGCAATACTCCACCGTATAATTATATCTATCGGCTTTATGCTCCACCGCATCTTTGAATACCAGCTGCCTATCCATGATCCTGCTGTTGCGAGCTGTTGCCCTTGTGTTACGAACTTTGAGATTCTCGTGATCACCGTTGGATTTCATTAGATACCCACAGTGAGGCTCTACCGCGACCAGAGAGAGTGGAATTATTAGGGTGCTACTCACATCCATCGACATGCTATGACTGCTCGGCATACGCCGAGCTTGACAGCCCCATGCCGTTAATCCGCCTCTAGTTAACTCTCACTCGCAATATGGGTGGTAGTACCGCCACTTGATGTCTTGAGTTCGAGGAATGCAGAGAGGGCTCTTTGACGCTTCTGGACAGATGTCTATATAGCCTTCCAGAGCTGCTCTCCACGATCTTCAGTTTGGATTTTCTCGATGATGATGATGATGTTTGTCGGTCGTCACGACCACGGTCTCCATCCGTCCCCGTCCTTTGCCGATATCTCTGGATTTCATGACCGCTATCTTGGCCGTCGTCAATGGTGTCAGATCGGCTTTCCTTGCGAAAGTAACATCAGGAATGGACTCAAGAGATATGGACCTGGCTTGGTTCAAGCCTGACCTCGGTGTCATACACAACTACGAGATACAGTCGATAAAAATATCTTCTGGGAAAAGGCATCGGAGCTTCTTGCGGCTAAAGTCGTCCTCAAGAATCTCGAAACGCGTGTTCGACATGGTCCTCACCCCTTGGTGGCCGTACAATCCGACCCACGGGGTTGGCCCCCAAGTCTCAACTGAACCTTCGGCAATGCAGAATAGGTCGACCAGACACAGCATTGTTCCCCAAGAGATCAAGTCATCTGCTGGTCCGGCTTCCAGAGAGCAACGTCGCAATCGTAAAAGGGCCCCAAGATTCTTCGGTGTAAGCCGGCAGGCCTAGAGTGATACTTCTAGCACTGTACAGTAGCTGAATCGGCACATCTAGAACCCCATGCTCGTCGCCTGTCTGATGGTTCTTCTCAGCTCTGGGCGATGAGATGTCTCTATTGGTTGAGACGCCTGCCTCTTTGCACATGGCCAAACAAGGTATATGCGCAGCCTGGAAGATTAATGCCGTGCAATCATTTCTGATACCACGTGTCTCTGGATCGCTGCTGCGAGAGGTGGGGAGCTCGAGACAGTGGGCGTTCTGGGAAGAATTTAGCCATACTTGTAGGTGTGTACATGGGTTGATGGGTTCTCCAAAGGCCGTCAGCGACCTTCGGCGGATCGACTACTGGGTAAGAATCGGAAGACATTACATATCTCCCGACCAAGTCTGTCATCGCCGACCGTTAGCATTATTGCGAGTTGATCGATGACGCTAAGGCAAGACAAAGGACAGCCGAGAAAGGACGATGATATCCTCGGTTCCTGTTCCTAGTGCCCAAGTGACCGGAATTCTGCAGGACGATGATGTGATGAAGAACTGCAGTTGCACGATACTGTGGGAAGGACTGGGTGGTGGCCTGACTCAGGCAGGCCATTTACCCAAGCCCGGCAATTCCTCCCTTTGGTCTTCTCTTTTATCATGTTATGGGCCACCAAAGCAACTCCCAATTTGCGTGGGGAGGATGTGGAGTCATCTCTTTTCATCGAGAGGCTGACCTCAATCCGTTCGGCATTCCCCCAGCCAGGGTAAGGTTCGTAGCTCGGAGGGATCCCGTCCAAGGTCCGCGGAATCCAGCGCGAAGACTTGGTAACTACCTAAACAATCGGGGCAATGATAAGGCGGGGAGGGCGAATTATTGTACTTGTCCTCTTGCCCAGATGACCTCGGTAACTGGCCTCCAAGTTACCGGAATGAGATTCTACGAGGTGCAGTGGATGTGAGGGTGGAATGGCCTCATTTGGGCTGTGTGGTACTTTTCGTCACTAGGAACTCGGTACCTCGTACAGGTGATAGATGACAGATGATAGATGAGAACGCTGGCCATCCACTGGTCAACCAGATGACCGGCAGATTGTCGGGGCCCGCAGAGAGAAAACGACGATAAAGAAAAGAGGGTGTTTTGGATCCCGCATCTGCCCGTCGTCTGCGATGCTGCGATCCCGTGATTCCGACATTCCGATGGGCTCGTCTCATTTGCCGCATGCGCTGCGTTCTTTCCTGATGGTGTCGAATTTACTACTTGCCTCCCATCTCTTTTCACCCTTCTCCCACACTTTGACCATCTCTTCCCCTGATCTGAGCCCTTCATCTTGCATCGAGGGTTTTCCTCATTGTGTGGCCGCCCCATTTCAAGACCAGGTTCCCCCACAGATCAACCCGGGAAAGCGTGCCTTTTATGACATCCAATTGAGAACGCCCCGCATCACTCCAGACTCTACCAGGCTCCCAGGGCGGCACCATTCTGTCTCTCCCCCACGAACGGGCTATTTCACCAGCCAACCGCGGCTCCAGTCGGCCTCGCCTTGGACTTTATCAACCGTGACATATCTTGACTCGGCCCCTTCTTGGGGTGGTCAGACAATCTCCCAGTTGCCTTAAGACGGTCCGTTTCCGACCTTCCCCAGAAAGCGCAAGGCAAAAAACTTGGAGAAAGTCACATTTCCAAGTTGCCCGGCTCTGGTCAATCTCTCCAAATACCTCTTTGACGCCCGCACCAATCCTCCGGCCCCCCGGCTTTTCTTGCGGCCAGGTCATTGTTACACTCACTTTGGACTCTTTTTTCTTGTTACGTACCTCGTGTTCCTCTTTGCGCCTGATTCCATCCTACAGAGCCACGACCGTCGAACCCAACCTGCAACCCTTGGCAACCTCTTTGCAGTGCCTTTCGTTTCGCAAATACCGCCAGCCGCGCGCTGTTCTCAGAAAAAGAAGGAGATAATTTCAGCTGAAACAAAGCCGCTTTGTTGAGCGGTTACGTCTCTTTGGAACGTAATAGTCTCCCGCCCTGCGCCGACGGGTTGAGGCTCAAGATGAGCAACCATCCGCGGCGGAGTGCCCGACTATCATCACATCTACAGCCAGAGCAATTCCAGCAAAGAAGCAGTGGCCGTTCTCCTTCTAGCCTTCCGAATAACTATTCGCAGCCTTCAAGTGCCTCGACGAGTTCTCACCCAAGTCCTGTCAGTGACACTCTACAGCCTCCGCCACCTCCTCCTACTCCTCAACACCCACAGCATCGCATTCAGATACAATCACACTTCATGTCTCACCAACAGCAAGGGCACCCTCATATTCACGCTCCGTTGCCTTCGCCTTCAGCCGCGCACATGGGACCATTTTTTGGTGGGCACTATTCGCAACCGAACTCATACGCAGCGCAGCCAATGCACCAGGGTTATCAAGGGCAACAGACATTTGGCGACCAGCAATCCCAAGTGCATCAACAAGAGCAACATCATCATCTACATCCACACTCGAATTCGATGTCCAAGGAGCATCCCGCATACCCGCAGACGATGGGCGCCGGGCAGTTGCCGCCTGACTTTCTGGCCGAGGCAGCAAAACGTGCACAGATGGCTTGCTTGATGCGAGACTTGGGTGATGTTACGCTTTAGAAAGGACATGATCACCGCATCATTTCACTGTCTATACCTTTTTACTCACGTCGCTTGTATTGTTTTATCAGATACGACTTCTCGCCACACGACGGCTTCTCGGTTGAAGACGGGTTGCCGAGGACACTTTGAGTTTGGCATGTGATGGAGCACAACACGGATATTTCGACACCCACTAATACCATGCCGCACAAAAGGACCTCTGGTTTGGAGACCGGCCTGCGATGGTGAACCCGCCAGCGGCAACTCGATCTAATATTGTCACCTTCCGATTACAATGCGGCACAAGGACCACTGCATTCCTTTACAACTACCGATGCAACCATAGCATACGAACTTGAATTTGTTACGTCAGTATCCACATTTACGACATTGCCAATCTTTGCAAGCCACCTATTGATTCTGCCCGCTTCTCAACTCTTGAAATTCTACTCTTATCTCAACGATATTTATCTTCTTCGGAGTCGTCATTATTGTCTCGGGCCGATACCCCCAGAATGTTTGTGGTCAAAATATCGACGCAATCGCCAGCCCCTACCGAGGGTTTAATGGTTATCACAGTCAGTGGTGATGGGTTCGAGTATGCTCAGTTCTTTCGAGCGTCTCACCATCTACCGGCACACAGAAAGGTATAGAGAAGATAACTGTGGGCTTAGAGCTCCCTCCCTCTCTCTCTCACCTCGGATTACCTCGGGAAAGGATTTGGTTTAATTTATTGCAATGCTTGCGTGGTTTGTTAGATGAGCGACTGAAGAAATGCATTTCATGCGGTGAACTGGAGTTGAATCAGCGTCTCTGAACACTTGCTGGAGTACCGTCCATGTTTGGAATTTGTTTTTCCCCCTTTATCGAGAGTACAGTCGCGAGGTTCCAAGATGATCTTTTGGACTTTCGGTGGGAGGTCAAGTGGGCACAACCCAGGGAAGGAAAGGGGGAGGTATACATGAACTTGGAGAATTTTAGATTCCTTTTTTTTTTTCAGACACACGGCCCGGTGCCTAGAGCCGGCGGACTTCTTTTGCGCTTCACGGTTCCTCGCGCCGTCAGGATCAGAAACGACTGAAAAAAAAAAAAAAAACACAAGACAGAGATGTGGAATTGGGAGCGGATTCGGGAAATGGAAATGAGAATGGGAAACGGATACTAGGAAAGGGGTGAACTGGGGAAATCGGAACTGGAATGAGAATGACCGTTATCACTCTTGATGCCTTTGTGTCTCTTTTTTTCAATCATAATTTTGATTTTGTCGGTCTTTCTGCTCTACGGCATTCAATAGCCCCGAACCGGGTGCTTTTTACGTGTCTGCTCCTTTCCTCTCACCTCACCTCTCTCTGTGTTTCGTCGTCGTCGACGTCGTTATCGTTGTCGTTGTAGAGATATCATCCTTTAACCCCCGCTCCCTCTCTCCGTTTCTCTCGCTCCAGACCTCCTGTTTCACCTCACAAAAGCCAAGCCAAGCCAATCATTCCTCTTCCATCCACTCCGCCTCGAGAAAGTCAATGAACCCCTCGACGATCTGCCTGCGTCCACTGACGTAGCCCTGTCCGTGCGCGATACCCCCTCTTTGGATCTGCGTGTATTTCCGCCGGAGGCGCTGGAGCATGGGCTGCGAGAGGACGACGCCGGGAGGGATGTGGATGGCTCGTTCGACGGTTGTTGTCTTGGGCGACTCGGTGGGAGTGGTTAGTTCCGCTGGATGGCTAGGGGATGAGAGGGGGAGAGGGATGGGGATGGAGAGGAGCAAGTCGCCGCCATCATGACCTGCGTGGGCGGAGAGATTCTGTTCCCACGCCTGTGCGAGCAGGTTCTTGACCACGTCCATGGTGGCCGACTCGAGGGTTTGCAGGGCATCCGAGGCTGTGGCGCGCGGGAGAACCGTGGCCGCGTGCGGTTTCACCACTTCCGACTTTTCACGCACGGGTGGGGGTTGTGTTGCGGATGAGAGGGATACGACGGCCGCGTTCCTGTCCCCATTACCCGCCGCCGTTCCAGCTCTCTCAGATGAACGAAGTTGACTCAACGCCTTTTTGCTGGTCGGCTTTGTCGGTGGGGGGTAGATTGCGTTCCAGATTTCCTGGATCGGAGGCGAAGCGTCGGACGAAGGGACGGTGAAGAGAGGTGTGTCCCAGCGGGAGAAAGGGGACGGGGGTTCGTAGCGCATCATCAGGGAGGTGAGAGTTGACGACGAGTATGGAGGAGAGGAAGTCGGCGGCGGGATTGCGATTGATGGCGCATAAGGCGTCGGCAAGGGTGGATTCTCTCGTCCTGGTTTTGATACCGTCGACGACGACGAGGGCGAGCTTGCGTCCGGCGGTCCGCCGATGTATAAGGACTTGAGAGTCATCGTGTCGTCTGGTAACGTTCGAGGCATTGCATCCCCGCTGTCGCCATTGTCCAGCCCGTCCATCGAGGAAGACCGAGACCGAGACGTCGCGTGCTCCAGCACCCGATCACCGTAGATGGCGGTATGACTTTCTGGAACCAGATCGCCCAAGACACTTTCGCCGCCCTGATTGTGCCGCGTATGCTTGTGCTTATCCTTGTCCAACACATTCCCATCTTCTCCTCTGCCACCACCATCCTCGGCGTCCAGCTCCCCCTGCTGCGCTCTCAACCTCTCCCGATTCCACCTCTTGCACTCATCCTCCTGCGCCGCCACATGGACAACGCAACATCTCGTGCCCACGGCCTTGGCCTCGCACCACAACTGGTATCTATAGCCCTTGATGTAGTTCAACCCGTCGGCGATCACGACATTGTCCTTTGAAAGCGCTCGCTTGATCGCGGAGAACTCTTCCGCCCTCGCGGTCTTTTCGTGGGAGGCGTTGTTGTAGATCTGATCTCGAAGGAGTGTCGTCTGTTCTATAGACTCCGTACCGTCACGATCGTCGTCCGACGATGCGTGGTATGAAGGGACAATCTGGACGGTCCTTTTTGATATTGATGGTTCGTTGGCAGGAGGGGTGACGAAGGCCGCCAGCGACGCAGCGATTTGCTGGGCGCGGTACGTTTTGCCCGAGCACGGAAGGCCTGTGATAATGATGAGCTACGGGGAAAAAGTCAATCGTCGTGAAGAGGACAGTCTAGGTGCAAGGATCTTGTACTCACCGGCATAACGCAGTGCAGGCGGTAGAAGGTTGGTACAGACTTGAGTAGAAATTTTGATTTTTGGGTTATGGCGGGGGTTCCTGGGAGCGCCGCGGGAGTTGCCAGCGTTGGTGGGCAGGCGGGCTACACAATTGAGAGGTTCAAAAGGACCAAGTCAAAAGAAGTTTTACACTCAAGGTGTCATATTTTGCTATCTCTGAGGAAAAGCCCCGAAAAGTCCTGAAAGTAGCTACATAGTTGTGCGTACAGTACATTCACAGCGATTAGTACTGACACTGCTGTCATGATGTCTCTATTTACCCAATTCCCTCCATCCTCGCTGAATGTCTCTAGACCAATGGTGTAAGATTGCATAGGCATCAACCATTCTCTGGTCGATTGTTTGAACATGTCGTAGAATTTGTCACAAAAGCATATTGGCCTATCCTGGAAATGAGTCCTGGGGGGAAAACTCCTTGGTAGATGTGTTGGCCAGTCCTGGGAATATAAACAACAACCTCCGGGATTCACGACCCCGTCTCGGAAGAGAATTTGCCCTGTGGTTTGGTCGCACCCGGCTGAAGAAATATAGAATGGAAACAGGTAGCCTGACATTTTGGTAGGGAGGTTCTGGCTGCATTCATCCCATGGCAGCACTGTTGTTCTGTTTCACCTCTGACATTGCTGCTCTGCAATACAGCGGTGGGCTGGCTCCATGGTTGGTCTCGTGCAGGTTCAGAAGAAGAGTGATGAAAAGGTCCAGTAGTCTTTAGGTGGTAGGTTGAACAGGGTATATATCGCTTCATTGATTGAGTTAAGGACGGACAAAAGAAAGAAACTCATGAAGGATAGATCCCGGAGTAGGGTGGTGACACCCGGCACGTCCTGGAGATGGCGGTTGTGGGCGAGAATTGGACATCATCCATCGACACTGTTTGTGGCATCATTGCATCATAATCCTGGGTCTGAATGGTGTACGCGCCTGGAGCAACGTACTGCGCTCGGGTAATAGCCTGGCCATAGTTCTGAGTCTGGATGGCAGCGTTGGCCATCGCATGGACCTTGGACAAGGTGGACGAGTTGGACCTCCTCATGGGGACAGATGTCGGCTTCTTCCTCTTGTTCTGGCTTTGAGTAGCTGAGCTCTTCTTGGGGAGAGGCTCAGGTTCTTCGTATTGGTGGACTCGTTTCATATGGTCACGCTGGTTCCATCGTCGAGGAAATCCATTGCCCTCTCGAGCACGGTCACAGTCCGGGAATTTGCACAGGTAGGGGTTCACTCCGTGGTTGTGTTCTCCATGGGCCTCTCGTTCGTGCCTAAGGAGGCATGCATTAGAAGAGAACCGGAGGTCCTCGCATTCCGGGCGATCCGTAAAACGACAGCGGTACGGCCTCAAATGGGAGTCCACGTATTTGCTGGATGAAGCAGAGAGTATTAGAACGACATCATCTTGCGGGTGGCACAGGTTTGACCTACTTGTAGATGCATTTTTGTTTGGTGGGTTGGTGATTGCACTTGAGCTTCTCAAACATGGGGCAATGATAGTGTCCGCTTTTGTCGGGCCGGGCTTCATAGAGTGGTCCACTTCTGGCTTTTTCTCGGTCCGATTGTTCCTCTTTGGGGCTCCGGGTCTCAGCAGGCAGGATACACGAAACACTTTGGTCAATCACGCCATTCCGCTCTGATGCGGATCGAATAGGCCTGGGTCGAAATACATTGCGTCCTTTGAGGCTGTTGATGACAACTTGTGTTAGTAGGGGGACGAGGTGCGGGTAGGGAGAAGGGGGGGATCTGACCTATCTGGTAGCGCCTTTGACACGGTATTGATCCCGTAGAGAGCGGAGTCCGGGGCATCTGGGCATAGCTTCTCCTGGGCAGACAGGCAATCCCGGACATAATCCTCTGGAGGGGG